TGTATCGTCCATCAGTTTTTTATTCTCATTGCTCTCTTCATGTAGTCTGCCTGCCTGTATCGTATCATTGCATGTGTAGTCGGATCACCATGTATTCTAACACAAAAAATGTATTATCTTGTTATTGGTCAATGTGCGGCGTGACATGCAAGTTCTCTAAGTCCTTATTTGGTCGACATCAGTTCATGACAGCAATAAGATGTGTTGATACTTGTAGGCTTCATAGCTTGGTATACAATACTCATAGCTTGCAATTGATCACTAAGTTTATGGCCCGCCTACAGAACCTAGCCCAACTTACAAGATATGAGTAAAATTCTCAAAATGGAGGTTACAAATATGTACTACGAAGCTACTAAATTTCAAGCGAGACGTACATTAGTTCTGAGTGCTTCTAGCTCTTATACTGAGCTTATAATCCGAGTGCGCTTTTTGTGATGTCTGCAGTAGTGGAGGTTAGCCTTGGTGTGAATTTCGGTACTGATTGGACCCCGATGGAATACAGACGTGCTCCAATTCGGTGTAATTAGATGCTGCCGACCTTCACTAATGTCACTGACTGACCTCACATCGTCATTCAACCACCATTCATGCTTGATTGTTCGGTTGATAACGAGATCCTCGTTCGCTTTTTTGAAGGCTTGAATGGTGCTGATCAGCTTGAGGAGCGTCTACCACGTTACGGAACTTACTGGGCGCAAGAAATATGCCTGTTCTTCGCCATAAATATACGCTCTTTTTTACTTGCCGGAGCACAATTGCAATAGACTGCAACCTCTGTGCCAATCTAATGAATATGCCAAGCCCGGTGGCGCCGGGTTCCAGGCTCATTACTCCTACACAGCTTTGGGACTTACGGCAATGGTCAGTAGATGTTCAAGGACGGATAGCCAAAGGATAGCTGAACTCAAAACTTACCTAAATACGTGAAAAGCGATTAAAAGTACTAGAAATGCGCCCCGCAATGCATTGAATTTGAGGTGTGCGCGATTACTCGGCCCTTTCACGAAATTTTATGTTATAGTTTCTCAATTGAAGTAGTTTGTGCACGGACATTGCACAGTGTGTTCCTGGCACCAGCTGAGGTAGAGTCGTCAGGTACCAGATGTCGCGTTCGAGTGTTGTTCATGATGGCCCCCTGATATCTCTTGCAAAGGAGAGATGCGTGGAGTTTCTATATTAAACCTTGTGACACGTTCCACAGAGGCATAACGACTCGGAGGAGGCTTAAGGCCGTGATCCTTAGGTACGAGGAGCGCGTTAGGAACGTTCCTACTGAATCATGCAGGGGGTGAAAGCAGGAGACTCACTAGTGTGTGAACTCGGAGTGAGCGTAGATCATCTGATAGGTGGATAGTTCTAAGATCGCTATCCGGGCGACTTCTTCGATTTGGTCACGTCAAGTTTGTCCCCGAGGGCCAAGAGACGCGCAGCGCTTGGTAAAAGGCACTGGTTGTGCCTTTCAAAGCACAGTCGACCTAATGCTTCGGGGGGGAAGAGGTGGTGCATGATGAAGATGCGACGCTTTCAACTTAGCGATGTAACCCTACCAGTACAGCGTGGGAAAAGAAACTTACGACGCGCCTCGCTTCACTCAACTTTACTCACCTCCTCCTTTACTTGTCCTCGGAACCCTGCGAATGAACTAGCTAGGATGGAAATAGCTCGCTCAAAAACGGCATTGCTAGTCTTCTTTATTTGACGCCAATGCCGGTACTCCCGGCTCTGGACTCTCACGTCGTATCAGGTGCCCCATCATCATCGTCTATCCTCGCAGTCTCGACGGAACAAACCCGCTGCCCCCTCGTACATCCACTTCCCTTGAAAGCCCACTAAATCTCTATGTATCAGGGCTCCACGCCGAGCTACATCACAGCCGACCTTGGCGAGGGATTGGTAGACTTCTCAGCCCCACAAGCAGTCGATGATACCGTATCTGTGACCGACGTCCAGGCGATCGCTTCGTATTCGTCCGTGCCATCTACGCAGCCGAGGTTGATTATCCCAGGTGAGCCTTTTTGTTTGGGGGTCTCATTGTAGAGTATAGTGCTCAGGGACCTAGGTTCACCCCCCATATGGACTGGAAACGTCCCCGATCGCATCAAGCCGGACAGCCAAACAGGTGCGGCAAAGAAGAAGGCGGCCTGCTTGGGCGTCTTGTCCTCGCCGGTCCCTATCTTTGTCGCAGTTCAAGCCCTTCACGAGGGTGCCGGGAAGCCCCAGTTTGACTATAAATCACTGGACATCGTCGCCGACCGCAACACCCTGCGGAAGCTCCTCCGCTGGGCGAAAGGATCTAGCGAACAAAGTGGGCCATTCCGCGTTGATATTCAGCGCGCTGGTAACACGTGCATATTCATCATGTGCACGGAAGGACCGCAGGAACGCGCCAAACAGTCGACGAAGGGGTATGGCTTTGGGTTCGAGCAAAAGACGACCTGTGCTGCTCCGGGGTGTGAGCAGGCGGCCGAGTACGCCAGAATTATTGCATACGTGAGTGACCACTTCGATTTGCTCATCGTTGCTGCCCGCGCTCGAGAGACAGACTGACGCAACGCGCGACCTCCGTCCCCAGAAACTCGGAGGACTCAACATCCTCCTCCGCTTCGAAGTCGACGCCTGCATCCAGACCCAGGCTGAACCCCCGAGGACACAGGGAGACTTAGCGACCAAGCTCTCCGGACTGACGCTGACCAGCTCCTCCGCACAAGTCAAAGGCGCTGCCAAGTCGCGCATCGCCTTTGGCCTGTCGGTCGAGCTGCAGCCGTCGCAGGAGCTGATCCCGCAGACCTCCCTCGTCGAGCTCGTGACGCGCTCGGTGCAATACGACGTCGGGTGGGAAGAGCTCTTCCCGCAGCTCTACCTTTCGCAGACGGAGCACGTCTTCATCGCGAAGCACAGCAGGGGTGTGTTCCGTGGGATTCCTGTGAACAGGATGCGGCTCAGCGATCCCGAGGATGGCGATATGGTCGCTCGGAAGGCCGAGGCGGATCGTACTTATCTGCCGAAGCTGAAGGCGGTGTTGGACAATATTCTTCTGGAGGTGAGGAGGGTGGAGGAGGGTGTCATTTTAAGTTTGGTAAGGGACGGGGGCAATCTCACTTTGCACAGGAGGACAGGCGGAACGGAAACGAGGATCCCCGAAGTGTTTTTAAACAAGTTCAGGATGTGATACAGAAGGTACGGATGCAGTGTACATTGGGTCTTGCTACTGATCATCGATTGAATTTATAGGCGTTGACATGATTCTTTGTGATGTTACTTTGTACGAATACTTGCGAGGCCAACGCGAATTTACGCGAATTTCAATCATACGTATTGATAAAATTGGGGGAGTGCTAAGGGACTAAACTCAACTCCGAGACAGCGCGTCAACCTAATACCCACTGGCATCTGGACACCCTCTCACATCATCGAGTCACAGGAAGCGACTGAGGGCGGCTATTTATCAAAGCAGTCCACAGCCGCCGAACGCTCTGGATCGATGCACGGTAATCTTGCATTCTCGGCTAAGATATATGAGCAAGCCAAACGTGCGCCAGAGCACATCAAACTCTGGAAGCGCATGGTCATTTTGAGTAATGGGAGTAGCTTCAAATATGTTACAAGGAAATCATAACGAAACAAACTTTTGTGCATGCATGGATATAGAATTGAAACAAAGGGTGTAATGAAAATTTGAAGTAAGCAAGGAGAGGAATTACTGAACGAGTAGGCGTATGCATGCACCTCCGAACCAACACTCCACCCAACCACAGACGGACTAAGATATAATATCGAGAACAAATTTGAGGAGCTACCATATATACCGCACGCGTCCGGCTCCTCCAACTCCCACCCTCCGCCCATCGCTCTCTTCTTTCCTTTCTTTCTCTGGACAACGTCGTGTCGCTCAACTAAGCATATCCTCGTCTCCGCGCTTGCCCACCATCCGCCGACTCGACGCCGGGCCCGTAGCAGCGATCCCGATCGCGTGGCTCCCGCCGACGTCGTTGGACCCGACCCCCTCGTTGCCATGGGTGCCTCCACTCCCGGTGCTGCCTGTATTTCCGGTACTGCTTGTATCGCCGCCACTACTCGAGCCACCGGGTGACGTGCCCGCCGTCGCTGTCGCACTGGCCGTGCTCGAAGCAGCAGTAGGCGAAGCCGACGAGCCACCCCCGCCGTGTCCGCCGTCAGACGACGTCGACGTCGAAGTCTCAAGAGGACTGGGAACGGTAGACGACGACTCCGGCGTCGTGCTAACAGCCGCGCTGGACGAGCTCTTCTTGCCCACGGTACCGCCGACCGCGCCGCCCACGACAGCGGCGACGACCACGAGCGATACGACGCCGATGGCGATGAGCCCCTTCGTGGTCTTGTACCACGGCGTTTTCGCCCCGTACGCTGCCGCACCCGCACCCGAGCCGGAACCGGCGCCGGCGCCGGCGGCAGCATAGCCACCGCGCCGCTCCTTCTCCTCGAACGCGCGGTCGGAGGGCGTCGCTGCGCCGCGCCCGGGCGTGGGGGAGTGGGCGCCGCGTGTGCCGGGGGCAGAGGCGGCGGCGGCGCCTGCGGGGAGGGGAGGGGAGTGGGAGGCGGGGGAGGAGGCGCCGTAGGGCTGTTGTGCGTTGGCGGGTTGGGAGGAACGGTGGGCGGCGCGGGTGGAGGTGTTGCGCTCGGGTTGGTCGAGGAGGTCGACGTTGTAGCCTTCCTGCTCGTTTAAAGTACGTTTGTGGGAATTATGAGGTGGGATGGGCGACGACGTTGATGGTCAAAGGTTACGGCAGGAGAATCGGGCGATCGGTTTGGCGATGGTTCGGTTGCATGCGCGATGCAAGGTGTAAGACGGGGGAGAACGACATAGACGGTGGATGCGAAGTTGCGAGACGCAGGATGACGAGGGTATTGGATATGAGAGTGAAAGGTGGAGATTGAATATCGAGGATAAGCGAAAAGTAGGGCCATTGAAGAGCATGAGCAGGAGTGAACACGAATGCGTTGAAAAGCACCAAGAAAGAAGTCGATCAGCAACTCCCCCACTAGCCAACACATGTATGACGGCGCACCTGTCTCTGAGCCCTGGTAGCCGCAGGGGCCTGGCCGAGGAGAGCCTGGTCGTAGTCTCCGCTCATAAGTGGGATATGGGTTTGCGAATCCACAGTCAATGTGGTTTCCTGGTCACTTGGATGTTATGGTGTTTGTGTTGGCAATGTGCCCTTTCGTCGCACACAACCAAGGGGATCCGATGCGTGTATGGCCTGGGGGGAGGAGGGAAGGAAAGGCGGTGTCAGTGGGAGGGAAGGGGAGGAGGGAATGGAGGTAAGCGCCGGAGGGCGCTGGCCATCACAATGGCGATGCGCGGAAGCTGTTCAAAATGAGGTGGGCAATTGTCGCCGGTGCCTGTCAAACACTCTTGGCTTGACTAGTACTCAGTGAGACACGTTCTGCTTGCTCTGACTTTCATGTTCAGGTTTTTTCAGATGTTACTGGGTACAATGTACACCGTATTTGCTATTGCATGAAGGTGCGTGTCTGCCAGAAGGCTCGCACCAGTGGGCCAGCGTTAGTGCGTGGAAAGGCCAGGTACGGAACGCAAGGTCATGTCCTTTTATGTCGCGCTCGCGTGCTCATATGAACAGCCGCAAATCCAAACTGCGCAACTTGTCAACGCTCTCTCGTATTACGGCCCGCTGGGTGGCTCATCCTATGTCGCATGCTCCAGCGGACAGCGCTCTCATCCAACTTCCAGTGGTCTTGGACTAGCGAGTTGGTAATCCCCAAGTCTCGCTTTCCGAATCCAGTTTATGTTCTTGCCTGCTCGTGCTCGGGTGCTAGCGCCTCTGCATATAGAGAGATCCTTCATACTCTGATCTTTGCGCATCCGACTCGTTCCGTGCAGTAGGAGAGATCCGCACCAGGCACGTCGACGACCTACTCATTCTCCCTAGGCTCGAGCAGCTGGCTATGGATCTGGGGTTTCTTGCACTCAGCCCTCATTCTCTTTGATCCATTTCTCCTCAGATTTTTCAGGTCCGGAAGTATCGTCCATCTTTGTCCTCTACAAGCGCCCATATTAGAATCTTGCTGTTAGTGCGAGAGTCGACGCAGATCGCCTGTGTACCGGCAAAGTACATGCTGGCAATTATGCTGAGTGTCGTGGGGAGAAATACGAGCAAAATCTGGCATGCTCCTGGTCAAAGTGAAGGGTGAAGCTCTTGGTTTTAAGAAGATGGCTGAGCGCTTGATCGCAAAAGTTGCCGAGATAGCTTGCCGCGCCGCTGAGTTTAAACTCCGATGTCGGGTTGCCGGAGCTGAGCGGGAATTGGACCGGTGCTCACTGCAGACAAACTGTGATTTTTCTGTTACAAAAAGTGATTGAAGAAGGCGGACAGATGAAAGCCTTTTTCACCCATCTTTTGCTGTGCGAAAAGTTACTGAAAAGTTGAACTTTTGCCTCGGAGTTTGCATTTCTACGCGGAGATTAGATAGAAACACGTCCAAATCGGGAAGGTGATGTCCGAATTCGGTAACCCATCCATTTTACCAGCGCAAAATTGACGCAAATGTCAGCCAAAAGAATACCTTTTCCTGTGCAAAAAAGCGTTCCAAAACTCGGAGGAAAAGGTTTTCATCTCGCCGTCTCTTTCTCTCGGTTTAATCCCGGGTAAAATCGCCGTTTGCACTGGGGGCGTTAGTCGATGTTTCCGGGGAAAACATGTCAAAAATATTCAAAATGTTTTGCTCGAAATTCCAAATTTGGAAGGTCACCTTCCCAATTAGGAAGGCATCCCTCAAAACATTTTGAATGCTTTCCACAAAAATATGGGCAATTGCCCCCAGTGTTGTCTGCAGTGGCTTCCCATCGCGACGCGTGCGACGCGTTCATCATGCACCGCGTCCTGCTTGTCGCCGAGCTCCTCGACAACATCTTTGGCAACCTCAGCGCAGAGTTTGAAAGGCTAATTGGTGGTCCTAATGACGGGACCTTGCTCGCGCTTGCGACAACATGTCGGACATTTAAAGAGCCTGCGCTGAATGCGCTCTGGGAAAATCTTCCCGAAATTGATACTCTCATCAAATGTCTGCCTAGAGATGCATGGGAGGCTTCTGTGGATCAAGAGGTATTTTGAAACATTACATATTCAACAGATACACCAAGCTGATGATCCCGTGCACCCAGACAAGATGGGGCCGTCCAGCCAATGCCTTTGTCGTAGGTCTCGAACTCACCTCCGCGCCCACGCTCGGCGTTCATATTTTAACAGGAATTCAAACGGCCTCTGACACCCACAGATTGGACCATCATCCGTAGATATGCCCCTCGCGTGCGGCGCCTCCACCAGGTATCCCTGGACTCCCACAGGTCTTCCTACACCAAACTTTTGGTGCTCAGTCTTGCCCCTCCCGACAGCGTCCCGCTTCTTCCGAACTTGAAGGCTCTCGAGTGGACGGGGATGCAGCCCGATACCGCTCCTTTTGTGCGGACCTTTCTCAGTGCATCTCTTGAGTCGCTCCATTACGGCATTGGCAGTACGATACCCGACACGCACGTGCTTGCGTCCGTTGGTGCATTCTGCCCTGCTATCAAGGATGCGAGTGTCTTCTCGTACAAGAAGATTTCGGGTGGGATCGAAGCTTTCTCATTGTCGGTGTGCCGCTGGGAGTACCTCCAGGTGCTGCAGTGTGAGGAGCTGACGGACGACGCACTCGTTCACATCGCAGGATTACCGAACCTCCGAGAACTGCATATCACGTTGACTCCGGGGACGCCTTTCCGAGCCTTGAGGATGCAAGTTCAAGGCAGCGTATTCACGAAGCTGGCTTCTCTAGATGTCAACGCAGCCGACTTGGGTTTTGTCGCAGCATTCGTCAGCGCGTTTGAGCTATCACCAGCCAACGTCACGATGCTCGTTGCTGAAGAAGCCAACGCGTGCTCCGATCGCGTTGCGGCTGTCCTGAAGGCACTCTCAAAGGTCGGGCGCGCTCTAAACCACGTAGAGATCGCTGAAGAGGAGCTCTATTGGTACTACAACCCTCCCGCCCACACGTTCACAGTGCGGAACTCTGTTATCGATATGTCTACTCTCCGCCCGCTGCTCGGATGTGCCGCGCTCCGCGTTATCGATCTCGACACTCGGTGTTCTGTGGTCCTTACCGATGCTGAGCTCATAGACCTGGCGCGGGCGCTGCCCCTTCTCGAGACGCTGTCTGTCAACTCGATGCGCGGCTGGAACGCACCCGCGGCGGTCACGTTTTACGGTGTTCTTTCGGTCGCACGCCTGTGCCCCTGCCTCACCCGTCTGGGTATTCAATTCGACGGGATGTCGACGGAGAAGATACACCCTCCAGAAGGAGCCTCTGCTCATGATAACGAAGAGGGTGACGGCAACTTCAACCTCGAGGAGCTGTGGGTCGGGAACTCGCGCGTCGATGACCCGGAGACGGTGGCGACGATTTTGTACGATGCGATGCCGGGGCTGAGACGCGTGTTTGGGTGGTGCTCGCCGCCGGGACTGGGGGATGAGGAAGACGAGGCGTGGCGAATGGAAGAGGAGGTGTACGGTCGGAGATGGAAAGAGGTTGAGGCTATTGTTGCTCAGTTCCGCCGTGAAGACAACGAGGATAGTAGCACCTCAAGTGGGGCTGCGGAGCTGAGTGCAGATGAAGACACTAATATGGGCGAGGAGGAGTAGAAATTCCGTAGAGATGACGGTGGCGTCGCGGAGGAAACTAAGGGTACGATGAGGGTGGTCTATGTCGACGCTGGTGTACGTCCTTTTCAATGCACACCATCACTGTACTGTAATCCTATGTCGGGTGCTTCTGCAGTAAGTGCGTTGCCTCAAGTACCAATGGCAGGCTTTCTGAGTCGAATTTAGTCAGGACTAAGGAAGCCGCAGTTGTGCACAGACCGCGTTCATGGTTGTCGGGGGAAAATGAACCCCAGAGAGCGATGGTTCATGAGCGGAGAGCCTACTAATCCATAGTCAGGTACTTGAGCCCGGGGAGAATGAGTCGCCCGGCAACGTACCTGGTGCTGAGCTCTCCTACTTCTCCGGTATATATTCCGAAACACGGTTGGAGTACTGCATCCGCGCCGCAAGCTAAATGTGCACCAAGGAGGGCCACCCGGCGTCGCCGAACTTCGCGTTTCACTCCCCTCAGATCTCTGATACAAACATCGATTAAATTCGATCTCCAATTTTCCTGCGAAGTACATATACCGAAAGGTGTATTAGTGATGTGTTGTAAGTGTCCAGATGGTTGTGGACTTGACCGACCTCACTTGGACCTCACAAGCGTTGGCGCGTTGACGAGAGTCACCTTGCCTTCTCCGCGCCACCAAGTTCAAACTCCGATGCCAGCCCCCCGGAGCTGACTGGGATTTAGAGTGTCGCGACGCGTTCATCATGCACCGCGTCCTGCTTGTCGCCGAGCTCCTCGACAATATCTTCGGCAATCTCAGCGCAGAGTTTGACCGATTATTTGGTGGTCCCAATGACGGGACCTTGCTCGCGCTTGCGACGACATGTCGGACGTTCAAAGAGCCAGCGCTAAACGCGCTCTGGGAAAACCTTCTTATGATTGATAGCCTCATCAAATGTCTGCACAAGGATGCATGGGAGCCTTCTGTGGATCAAGAGGTAGTATCTATTTATATATTCTGAAGCTTACACTAAACATATGATCGCGTGAACCCAGACAGGATGGGCTCGTCCTGCCGGGGCTTTCGTCGTATGTCTGCACTCGTCTGGGTGCCAAAGCTTGGCCTTCATGCTCATAGCATATATATGGCAGGAGATCAAACGACCTCTGACGCCCTCGGATTGGCTTATCATCCGAAAATACGCTCCCCGCGTGCGGCACCTCTATCAGGTGTCTCTGGGCGCCTACAGGTCCGCGCCTACCAAACTTTGGGTTCTAAGCTTAAGTCTTGCCCCTCCCGACGCGGTCCCTCTCCTTCCAAACTTGAAGCTTGTTGAATGGACAGGGATGCGACCGGATACTGCCCCCTACATGCGGACGTTCCTTACTGCATCCCTTGAGTCACTTTGCTACGGTGTTGGTAGCACCATACCGGACATATACCTGCTTTCGTCCGTCGGGGCATTCTGTCCTTCCATCAAGGATGCGAGTGTCTACTCGTACAGGAAGATTGGCGGGGTCGAGGCGTTCTCGTTGTCGGTGTGCCGCTGGAACTACCTCCGGGTGCTGCGGTGTGAGGAGCTGACAGATGAAGCCCTCGTTCATATTGCAGGATTACCAAACCTCCAAGAGCTTAATATTGCGTTATATCCGGAGACGCCGTTTCGAGCTATGCGGGCTCAGCTTCGAGACACTCCGTTTCCGGACTTGACTTCTCTGCACGTCATCGCAGCAGATCTAAATGTCTTTGCAGCTTTTGTCTGCGAGTTTGAATTGTCACTCGCTAAGGTTACAGTGTTTGTCTCTGAGCGGGCCAGCGCCTGCTCAGATGGCGTTGCAGGTGCCCTGAAGGCGATCTCAAAGAGCAAGCGTGCTCTAACGCATGTGGAGATTGCCGAAGAGGACGATAGCAGTATCCCCATCCCTGCGAACCACACATTCCCGCTGCAGAACACTGTTATCGATATGTCTACCCTCCGCCCGCTGCTCGGATTCAGCAAGCTCCGCGTTTTGGATTTTGAGACCCGGTGTTCTGTGGTGCTTTCAGATGCTGAGCTCATAGACCTGGCGCGTGCGCTGCCGCTTCTTGGGGTACCGTGTCTCAACTCCATGCATGGCTGGAACGCGGCACCCCCGGCAGTGACGTTCTACGGTCTCTGCTCGGTTGCGCGCCTTTGTCCATTTCTTTGCCGTCTGGGTATCGAATTCGACGGGATATCTACGGAAAAGATACGTGCTCCTCCGAACTCTGGGGGCGTCTCTGCTGTTGATGAGGAGGATGTACTCGATTATCACAATTTCAGCCTCGAGGAGCTGTGGGTCGGGAACTCGCGCGTCGAAGACCCGGAAACTGTGGCTAGGCTTCTTTACGAGGTCATGCCGGAGCTGACGGGGGTGTTCGGGTGGTGCGAGCCGCCGGGAGTGGGAGACGATGTGGACGGGGAATGGCAGATGCATGAGGGGGAGTATAATCAGAGATGGAAAGAGGTTGGGGATATTATCGCGAAACTCCGCCTGGAGGACGATGTGGATGGCAGCATGGCAAGTGGGAGTAGGGAGCTGAGCTCAGATGGTGAGACGGACACAGGCGAAGAAGAGTAGGGGGTTTATGGGGACGACGGTGGAGTCGTTAAGGAAACTGGGGATATGGTGAGTGTACAGTCGATGTAGTTTATGTCGGCGTTGGTTTACAGCTTTTTGCAGGTATATCGCTGTAACTTTGCGTCGGTTTTTCTTTCTACAGTTCATTGTATAGAACCTCACGCTATTAATTGCTGTCAAAATGGCCACAATCTATGCAAAGCAATCTGATATGCGCCGTGTAGCACATCGTGTAACGCGACAGCGCTAGTGCATCTGTTCGATCCTGACGTCAGCATGAGACGAGCGAAGATTAGAACTACTCGGTATGAAGAGCCTGCTGTAATATAAAATGTAAGTTTGCGAGTGAACTCGGCAAGAAGGAACTTGTTGAATGATTGCATGAAATCCACTCCGTTTGGCGTGCCCTCTTCGAAAGCCTGCCATTTGATTGCACCCATGGCGAGTGATATGATCCCGAGGTCTTCCGCTACTGCACCGTGACTATACTGGAGATTGCAAAGGCCCAATGACATGTTATTTGAGTTGGTCGTGGGGAGGCCTATCAGGGGCCGGTGGGGCAGGATCGCCAGAGATTGCGTTCATGATGGCTACTTGGATGTGATGATGCTGTAGTCCGAGATGATACACAAGAGCAGCAACACGGCGTTCGGAGGGCGGAGACGCGCTCGCGGAAAGTAGCATGATGGCGTCTTATGGTGGCTCGCGCGGCGTTCGAGCACGTTCCGACGCCACGAAGCTGTCCTTCCTTGACCACTTTGTCCAGATATCTTCCAAAAGCGCTAAGGAATTGTGCGACGGCGGAGTAGTTTGTAGTTCCGCGCATCTTTGGAAGAGCAAGGAATGTCAAGGCAGAAGAATTGGAATGCCGTCACACTTCATCTCGGCAATAGAGTGGTGCACCTTCCAAAAGCAGAAATTCCTCCGCGGGTGCAGTCTGGAAAAAAGAAATGTTGTTCATGAGAGAAATTATCTGGTTCGACTGTCGCGTTCCCCTCTTCTCCCAGGCCCCGACTTGCAGGTCCTCCTCTTTCCCCTCCCCCGCTACCCCGCCCCGTCCTCCCTCCGTTCCGCCACTCCGCCGTCACCACCCCCTCATAAGCTTATTTGTTATCTGACATATCCGGCTCCAAGGGGCCGTCTAATCATCCCGTGCGACACGCATCCTTCCTTCCAAACCCCATATATCTCCCCACCCTCATCTCAATCCACGTCGACTGATACACGCATACTCGACACAGCACACGCTTACCGCTAGCTCATCCAGCGACTGTCAATCCAACCAGGTTTTATCTATTCAGATCCTCCTTTCATAGGAGGCACCGCGTTCCAACATGCCTTCCTTCCTCAACAAGGTCTTTGGACGCTCCAAGCACCACCACCAAGATGGTGCTGCGGGCACAGATTCCCACCCTGCTGCCACCGAGCAGCAGCCAGCGCCGCTCCTCGACGGCAAATACGAGCGCATTTCGACCCATCTCCCCGACTCCGCGTCCAACGTCGTAGACGATGTCCCGCCCAAGCCGCCCTCCAAGTCCGACAAGGACTCGGCCAAGTCGTCCACGAGATCCAAGGTCAGGGTCAAGGACGAGAAGGAGAAGGAGAAGGACAGCGAAAAGGACACCCCGTTTTCGCTCTTCCGCGTCCGCTCGAAGCCCGCCGTTGTGCGCACTGGTAGCAAGGCCCGTGTCGAACAGGCCCAGAGGCAGCATATTCCGCATCTGTCCCTTCATCTTCCGCACGACGATGCGCTTGCTGCTGCGCTCAGCGCAGATGCAGGCGCGGGCGCGGGCAAAGCGCGCCCGAGCCTCGGGGACGTGTTCGATACGACCGTCGGCGGGAAGCCGATGCTCGACGAGGTGGAGATCGCGAGGAGGAGGCTGACGCCGCAGGAGGCGAATGTGCTCGTGAGCGCTTGTGCGAAGGCGATCAACGAACGGGGTGCGTCTGGTTTACTACGTTTCCTAATGAAAAGCGCTGACCAATATGTCCGTTGTTCGCCTCCACTCGACACAACGCAGGCCTCGAAACGCTCGGCCTCATGCGCCCGCACTGGCACGCCGCGTCCCCCGCCGCCCAGCGCCGCCTCATCTCACTCTTCCTCAACACCCTCGTGTCGGGCTCGTCCACTTCCGAGGACCCCTCTGCACCCGAGTTCGAGGCCGAGCTCACGTACACGCGCTCGCAGCACGACATCGCGAGCGTCCTCCGCTGGGGCCTGCGCCATCTCCGCCTCGAAGAGGGGCAGCCCGCGTTCGGGAACGTGATCGTGTCGTCGGATTCGGACCTTGCTGATCCTTCTGCCATTGCCACCGCCACTGCAAACACGGCAGCGTACGCGTGGTACGCGTCCTTTGCGCACGCCGAGCGCGTGGCGTCGTACCCCGCGGACGCGTACAGCGCGCACCTTGTGCCGAGGTTGCCCGCGGCGCACGGGGCGCTGTTGGGTGTGTTGTTGGAGCTTGTGGCGGCGCTGGGTGCGCATGGGGAGGCGAATGGGATGTCGGCGAGTCGGGCGGTGATGTGGTTTGGCGCGTGGGTGTTTTGTGCGCTTGGGGCGTGGGAGGGGGCCGCTGTCACGGCTGGAGGGGTGAAGGAGGGAGAAGAGGTTGGAGTGAAGAAGGAGAAGGAGGGGAGGGGGAAGGGCGGGAAGAGAGGCAAGGATGGGAAGGCCAAGGAGAAGGAGAAGGAGAAGGAGAAGGAGAAGGAGAAGGAAAAGGAGGGGCAGCAGGGCAGTGTGGTGCAGGTGCAGGGATCGGGCGAGCGATGGATCGAGTTTTATAAGGCCTGGGAGAGGGCTGGGCGCGTGCTGGAGCATCTGTTCCTCGCTAAGCTGAGGTGGGTGTTCTGTCTCACTTTTTTTCTCTTCTCTTCGTCACTTCCCTTTCTCCGATCCTATCCTCGCGTTCATGCCACGGTCTTATTAAATTACTAACGAACATCCCCCTTTGTGTCTACCGCGATCCAACAGAGAAGACGCCCTCGCGCACCGCCTCCCGACACGCCTCGAGGAGCTCGTGCACGCGTACCCGTACCTGCGCGGCGGCGCCCCGCCGCTCAACGACGATCCGAGCGCGATCGGTCGGCCTAAGTTCAGCACGCGCCGTCCTGCGGCGCTGCACGTTGTGCTGGAGTACGTTGTCGCGGACGCGGCGGTGCTTGCGTCCTTGAGGGGCGCGTCGACGGGCTCGGGGAGGGAGCCGAGGCGGGTTGTGATCGAGGCGCTTGGGCTTCCTGCTGCTGCTGATAGGGCAAAGGGAGAGCCGGCGGGGGAGTATGAGGGTGTGTGGGAGGGTATTCGCAAGGCCGCTGCGATTGAGGAAGCCGGATCTGGAAGTCAGGGTTCGGAAGAGGCGGGGATCAACTTCGACCTCGAGCGTATGTTTGCGGACGAGACGCTGCAACTCTTTGCGCGCACGGATCCTGCGCCGGAGCCGCTTTCGGGATCGGCGCCGCTGTCCCCGCTGTCGGCTGTTTCGGAGGCGTCGTTCTTTGGTGGCGGTGGGGGCGCGGGCACGCCGCTGGCGCGTGTCGGGTCGATGCCCACGTCTCCCATTGCTGCGCGGGTCCCGCTTCCTGCGTCCGCGGGCGGCAGTCCGACGGGCGTCGCTACGCCTATTGCGTCCTCGAAGTACGCCAATGGGTCTACGGCCGCCGTGAGCACCAAAACCGCCACTGCTACCGCCGCTACTACCACGCCGCCGCCCGCGATCGCGGACTGGGCGCAGTTCGCGGTGGGCGGGTTCGGTGTGGCGAGCGCGGGGCCGCTTGCGAGTACGCTTATGGATGCGGATGTGGAGGTGACGGAGCCTAGAGATTTGCCGGGTGGTGGGGGTATGTCGCCTGTAAGGAAGCTGTCGCGGACGGGTAGGCGGATGAGTGCGGGCGCGGGGTATGGAGGGTCGGGGCGGTCGTCTGCAGATGGGGCTGCGGGTGCGAGTATGGGTGCGGGTGCGGGTGCGGGTGTAGGAGGTGTGGGGACGCCGCCGCCGCCGAGCTCGTTCCCGAGCAGGAAGGTCAGCGGCGGGTCGAAGGCGTCGAAGACGTCCAGGGACAAGGCCGCCGTCAGGCAAGAGGTGGCTGCGGCAGTTGCCACTGCTGCCGCGGCTGCGGCTGCGAACTCGCTGGAGAAGCAGAGCAGGGCGGACGCGATCGCGCGCGCGGTGCAGGCGAAGCGCATTGCCAGGCTGGACGTTGTCCCGCTCGACGAGGCGTTTGTCGATTTCTGGAGCGACGCGCTGAGCGAGCCGGGTGTCGCTGGTGGTGCGGACGGGGCCGGCTTTGGCGCGGGCATTGGGGGCGCGTGGCCGTCGGTGGTGGTGTGTGGGTTGAGGCAGACGATCGAGGGGATCGATGTGCCGTTGCCGGCGGCGGTGAATCCTGCGAGCGTTGCGTCGTTGCAGGACGTCAATGCCGGTGCGAATGCGAATGCGAATGCGAATGCGGGCGCGGGGATGAGGGTGCCGGTGAGGTGGCTCGTTGTGGAGGAGACGTTTGTGCCTCCGCCGCCGCCGCCGCCGCCTGCTGCGCCTCCTATGCCGGAGGCTGCGGCAACGGAGAAAGGCGCCGAAGAAGGACGCGCGGCGAGTCCCCGTGCGCGGCCGCGGCCGAGACCGGGTCGGACGGAGAGAGGGTCGGCAGCGTCGATGTCGTTTGCGAAGAGGTTCTCGTTCTTTGGGAGACCGGGTTCGGCGAGTGTTGGTCCTGCGGGTGTGGGTGTCAAGGGCAAGACAGGGACGACGACGAATGAGTTTGGGCAGGTTGTTGAGGAGGAGGTGGAAGAGGAGGGGCAGGACGGCAAGGAGGGTGAGAAGGACGGCAAGGAGAAGGACAAGAGCAAGGACAAGGTCGATACGAAGACGGAGAAGAAAGATAAGGCGAAGAAGGACAAGGAGAGCAAGGCGGGGGCGGCGCTCGTGGCGGGTACGGCTGCTAGCGTTGTCGGCGCTGGTGTGGCTGCCGTTGCGGCTGCTGCGAACCGTCTGACGTCGTCGTCTAAGGAGCCCAAGGATGTTCCGTTGCCGGAGGAGAAGAGCGAGGATGAGGCTGCGCCTGTTGCCGAGCCCGCCACCGAGCCCGCCACCGAGCCCGTTCCCGAAGCCGACGCACAACCCGTTCCCGAAGTTCCTGCAGCCAAGGAGGAATCAGGAGAGGCTGTCCTAGCGCCCACCGCTGATGAGAAGGATGCACTCCCCACGCCGCTCCCGGAGAGCGAGGCGCCGACGCCGCCTGCCAAGGAGAAGGAGCTCGAGGTTGAGCCGGTCGCTGGGCCCGCTGAAGAACCCCAGGTCGAGCAGGAGACGGAGGCGCTCCCGCCTGCGCCCCAGAACGTCGTGCTTGCGGGCGAGACGCCCGGCCCCCAGGTGGCGCTCGAGACGAGCGAGCCGGTTGCTGTTGCCGAGGCTGAGGCTGCTTCAGAGACTGAAGCTGCTGCCGCTGAGGAACCTGCTGCTCCTGTCGAAGAGTCTGCCGCTGAGTCTGCCGCTGAAGAACCCGCCGCACCTGCCGAAGAACCTCAAGCCGAAGCTCAGGAACCTGAGACTCCCGTCGAGACGCCGGAAGTCGAGCTGCCCGCTGTCCCCGTTGTGGATGCCGCACCTGTCGAGCCGGTTGCGGAGCCCGTCACGCATGAGACGATTACGGACGACCCCGAGCCGAGTAACCGCGACAGTGTGGCTAGCGAGGCTGCTGTCGAGCCCGAACCCGAACCTGCGCCCGCGTCCGAGCCTGAACTGGAACCGGAGGCCGAAGCAGAGGCAGAGGCAGAGGCTCCCGTCGAAGAGCCCGCCGCGCCGGTTGAGGAAGCGGTAGCCATCCCTGCTCCCGAGCCTGCTGTCGAAGAGGCCGATGATCTTGAGGCGACCTCTGCCGCTGCACCTGTTGAGGAGCCCGTGGAGGCTGTGGAGGAGCCTATCGCCGTTGAAGAGCCTGCTGCTGTCGAAGAGCCTGCCGTTGCAGAGGAGCCGGTCGCTGAAGAGGAGCCTACTGTTGAAGAGGAGCCTACCGTTGAAGAGGAGCCTGTCGCCGTCGAAGAGCCTGCTGCTGTCGAAGAGCCGGTCGTTGAAGAGGAGCCCGTCGCTGAAGAGGAGCCTGTCGCCGTTGAAGAGCCCGCTCCTGCCCCAGTCGTTGAAGAAGAACCGGCCGCCCCCACCGTCGAGGAGGAGGAAGCTGCAGCGCCCGCGGAAGAACCCACTGCTGCTGTCGTCGAAGAGGACGAGCCTGCTGCACCAGTTGAGGAGCCTGTCGTCCCCGTCGTGGAGGAAGAGAAAGCTGCTGAGCCAACCGCTAATGGTATGTTCTTGTTTCGTCGTTGAGATACAGCAGAACCTAACCCGCGATATCTTCCAGGCTCCAGTGTTCACGCTGAAGAGGAACCCCAGGAACCCGTGGACGAGTCCGTATGAGCGCTGCTCACAAATCGACATAAGCCCAATTCACCCTGAATTTCGCGAGTATACCCCACTGCAGATCACTGTCTTGGTCATGATCTTGTCTCTCCTCTGTTAATATTTTCGTCTTCTTTGCATTTTTTGTTTGTTATGGCTGCTTATGTTCCATGGATCCCGACATTCTTTGTTTCCCCACTCTTCGGCATCTGCACGTTCCGACGTCCTTTCCTCGCATGCGCACCCGTTCCTCGTATTTTCATTTCATCCACTTCTCGTCCCATACTCGTCATTAGGGTGACATAATTTTACTTCATTTATGCTCCGCTCTACCAACTTGCAGGGAAATCCCATCCACCCACAATCTTGATACCCTTCTTTTTCATGATACGGAATATCCAGTTCCACTCCCGCTCCACAGTTTGGTCACTGTCTGTTCAAAGGACTCTGCGGCACCCACTCGTTTCGTTATACCAAGTTAAGCTTTAGCTAGTTTACAGGTTACAGTATCCGTTTATCTCTACAGTTTTTGCCTTGACTTGCTCATGCTGCCCGCGAAAGGAATCAGTTCTTGAGATCAACCTGCTATCCCGATGGAGTTCTCGATGTTTCAGGATCTAGACAGAAGTCTCCAACTCCGAAGGTACGGTCACCGGGCTAACGTTTTTGTACTCTTGAGCGTAGTCCGGAGCTGCGGAAGGAGTAAGTTTAGGACCGGCCTCCTTTTCGACTTTGGTGACCTCGGCCTTGGCGCCTTCAACCTTGGTGCTCTCAACCTTGGTGCTCTCAATGTTCCAGTACTCCTGCGCGTAGTCCTGGATAGCGCGGTCGGAGCTGAACTTGCCCATCTGAGAGTTACATGCGATGAGCATCTCGAGAAGTGAAGTGCAAGGAAAATTGTAGTCACCTTGGCGGTGGTGCGGATGGACTTCTTGAGCCATTCCTCACGGTCTTCGTACGCCTCGTCGACCATCTTGAGCGCGTTGACGTCTACAGTGATCGTTCATTGTCAGCGTTATCGTAGTGTTTATGAGATGACGCTTACAAGAGTCAAAGTCGTCTGTCAGGAGGTAGTAGTCGCCCTGTCTGATCGTGTTAAGGAGCCTGTCGAGCAAGAAAACGAGCTATCAACGAAAACATAGATCGCGAGAAGGACAGAGGGACACGTACGGCTCATACACGCCGCCATCGCCGAAGAGACCCGCCGAGACCTGGTTGAGAACGTGCGCGAGCGCGGGCGACTTCTCTTCGACGGGCACGGGGTGGTACACGTGCTGATAGCGCAGGTCCTCGACCGCCGGTGTGAGGTGCCCGAAAAAGACTAGTGCACGATGAGCTCCTCGCTCCTTATCTAAACCCGCATTGACGACGGTACTCACAGACGTTGGATTCCCCGACCTCCTCCGCGATTTCGATATTGGCGCCGTCGACGGTGCCGAGGAGCAGCCCGCCGTTGAGGCAGAACTTCATGTTGGACGTGCCGGACGCCTCGGTGCCCGCGGTGGAGATGTGCTGGCTGATGTCGGACGCGGGGATGAGCACCTCGGCGAGGGTGACGGAGTAGTCGGGCAGGAAGAAGAGGTTGAGGTACTCCTTCGTGTCTGGGTCGGAGTTGATCACGCGCGCGGCGTTCACGATCAAGCGGATCGTCTGAAGAATTGCGTGTTCATATAAGTCAGGAAGGGAGATGTAAGAGTAGGGACGTACAAGCTTGGCGATGTAGTCTGGAAAATGAGAATTACGAGGGTGAGCATGCGCATTCGAGAGAGGTAAAGGAAAGTGACTCACAGCCAGGGGCAGCCTTGCCAGCGAAAAAGACATTACGGGGTGTCACTTTCTTGCGCTCCGCGGGCGTCATACTCTTGAGAGTAAGATAACGCTATAGGAACGCCGCGATGAGCATCGAAAATCTCAATCATGGCAGAGATCACGAACATGAATGACACCGAGGATGTTGAGCGTTTGACGCTATCAACCAAAATAGAGGTCAAACCCCGCTCGAAATCCACACAGAAACACGCCTCCTACTTGCCTTGTACTCATGCAGCCGCTAAAACAATATAACATGTCAGCATTCTAACACCCCTCTTCCACCACACAGCGGCAAAAAACGCACCTTAATCTGCACATCAAACATCGCATCCGTCTTGACCGTCAAGCCGAGGGTAGTCTGGACATACGCAGCCAGGCGCTTCTTGTTCGCCTGCTTGACCGCGGCCCACTCCGCGCGGAACGCCGCGTCCTCCGCGAAGGGCAGCAGGCCCTCGAGCTTGTACAGGTCCTTGAGCCACACGCCCTTGGGCACCTCGAGCGTCTTGCTGATCAGCGCGGAGAGGCCCGGGTTGCATTGGTCGAGCCAGCGGCGCGGTGTGACTACGTAAGTGGGTGAAAGGGAGGTTAGGAGATGGGAAGGAGATGGGGGCAGAGAAGGAGGAGCGCGCTTACTTCCGTTGGTAACGTTGCTGAATCTAGATAAGAACACCGCCGATGAGCCCACGTACGAAGCACAAAGGGCCACACATAACTCACTTGCTCACACCAAAGTAGTCCACAAAGTCCTTCAAAATCGTCGTGCGGACGAGCTCGCTGTGGAGCTACACGAAGAGCGCCGTCCCGTCAGCTAAACCATGCACCCCGTACACCGCACACAAGACAAACCTCGGCGACACCGTTGATCTTTCGCGAGCCTATCAACCCGAACGTGTTCAGTCTCCTGTGACATGAGACGGCATCAAGGGGTAACGTACCGATGCAGGCGAGGAACGCCATCTGTACCTGCTGCGGGAAGCCTTCCTCGATGAGCGACATGCGCCCGAGGCGGTCCCTGTCGCCGGGGAACTTGCGCTCCACAGCTACCAACCAAACATCAGCACCACGATGTTCAGAGGCATCATTACGACAGCGTGTGCTTACATTGTAACCAGAACAAGTTCTATACCACGCGAGATCAAAGACCACCCAGCACAATCAGCCACGACACTACGCGAATCAGAGAGGAGCGCAACGCACGATATCAAAGATGATCTGCATGTGCCGCGGGAGAAGGTGCTCCATGAGCGGGACGGGCCACTTCTCGAGCGCCTCGGGGAGCACGGTGTGGTTCGTGAAGAAGAACGTGTCCGTGACGATCTTCCACGCCTTGTCCCACGCGAGCTCTTCCTCGTCGATGAGGATGCGCATGAGCTCGGGGATCGCGAGCGTCGGGTGGGTCTATGTATAGTGGTGATGTTTGTTAGTCATGTCGTGAAGATGAGGGGAGGGGAGGAGATGGGACGTACGTCGTTCAGCTGGATGGCGACATCTGCATGGTAGTTTAGAGACGTTAATGTAGGTTCATGTGTTAAGAGTGGAGAAGAGACGGAGACGCACACTCGGGGAACTCGGATATGTCCTTGTCGAGGTTTTTGAAGCGGCGCATGATGTCCGCGAGACTGGCGGCGGTCCAGAAGTATTGCTGCTTCAGGCGGAGCTCTTTGCCGACTGAGCACTTATAGTCAGTATCGAGGCTCAAAGGTACGAAAATGAACGAGCGTACAGGTGGTGTGGTCATTGGGGTACAGGACGGAGGTAATGGCAGCCGCGCTGTTCGAGGACTCGATGGCGCGCTCGTAGTCACCAGCTAGTATCGCGTTAGCATGGGTTCAAAAAACAACCGAGACGGACTCACCATTAAAGCTGTTCAAATCAAAGCCCCTCTTCGGCTTACTCTCCCACAACCTCAAATTGTTCGTGTTCCGCGTATCGCACCCAGGAATCATCACATCATACGCAACCGCCAACACCTCCTGGCCCCCACTCCATGTCGCCCGGCCACTGCCATCATTGAGCCTCTCCGCACGGCCGTAGAACCTGATCTCGTAGGTCACGTCCGTGCGCGGGAGCTCCCACGGGTTCGAGTTCTGCAGCCACGGATCGGGTGCCTCGAGCTGCTGCCCGTCCTGCGAGATGACCTGCTGGAAGATACCGTACTGGTACCTCAGGCCATACCCCCACATCGGGAGCTCCTGCGACGCGGACGAGTCGAGGTAGCACGCGGCGAGCCGGCCGAGGCCGCCGTTGCCGAGCCCGGCGTCGCGTTCCTGGTCAAGGAGGTCCTCGAGCGAGAAGCCGAGCTTGGAGGTGCCTTCGGAGTAGGCGCCTTTGAGACCGAGGTTCAAGACGGCGTTGTCCAGGGCACGACCCATGAGGAACTCGAGGGAGAGGTAGTATGCGCGTTTGCCGGCTTTGCGGGTGTAGTGAAGCTGGGTGTCGTTCCAGTTGATCTAGGGGATTGGGTCAGGGGTTTTGCCTAACAAGTGAAGATATGAGTTAAGGCACGTACGATCAGGTTGTCTCGAACGGAGAGCGCGGTAGCCTGGTATGCACCGAGGTTATCGAGCTCGTGCGGCTGACGAGCGAGGGAGGTCTGGACGTGGTTGACGATCGACTTGGTGATCGACGGAACGCCTGCATGTCCAACGTCAGTCAGAGATACGAAGTATTTCATAAAGACAAACCGGTGTCGAGAGATCTAAGACCATCCTTCCATGTCGCCTCGTCGCCACGGGGCCACTTTTCCTTGCCAGAGGCATCCTTCTCAGGGAGGTAACCTGCGGGGCGTTGTCAGCATCAAGATAAGATCTATGCTTACAACGACAGATCCCGAAAGAGACGAGACGTACCCGTCAACGTTCGAACGTGTCTGCGGGCCCTCTTAGGCTTGCCAATGGTCGCGGTGTCGAGAACGGAGGTCATGGCGACTCGAGGCTGCTGGCCGCGAAAAGGGGGCGATCGCAGTCAAAGAAAAGGACATTTTGAACACAAAAAGGCCTTATATGCGGTGAGGGGTATAGAGAATGGGGTCAGAAGAGTGCGAGTGAGCACGGGGACTCGAAGAAAGACAAGTCAACGATCTAGAATCTTTGCGGTTCCAGTAGAGGACCACCGCCGCCGATTCACCGCAACTCAGGGGTTACTTCTCAACACCGACGAGGCCAGGCGCGCCTTTTCCCGGTCCTTCATCCGAACAGGAACTGCACAAGACCCTCACCATCCTCAGCTGCGGCACGACGCGATACCGCAGAGGCAAAAGTAAACACACTTCCACCTCTGGTCAACCTCGTCATACGTGCCCTGAAGCAATGTCTTTGGAAATGGAAATACGACGTCATTGCAAACCCACGCTGGTCGTCCTGCTGACCCCGGAGATTTGGCTGCCATGATATTGCGCCCTCTGATAGTCCTCAGATGCACCCCAAGAGAAGACAAGGCAAGCCATTTAGCCCTCGTCTCTCACCAAATAAGCAATCTCACACGTCGCGTTCTGACCCCTCTCAATCGCCTCGAATGTCGTCAATCAACTCGTGACATATTCCCGTTGACGCTCACAGGTATCTAATTGACAAGACCAGCTGCATACTTGCGTGCAAAGATAACACCGCATAATGTTACGCTACACCTTTTTGGATGCAATAGTTCAAACCTTTCGTTCAACGATTGTTAGGCTTGACCACAGGCATCGGATGACATTCAAGGCAGAATGGCGTCCTAGCTCAGGAGATTTGGGCGCTCGCAAATCGCCGCACTATCCTTCAAACCTCAAGAATAGCTTTCAGTAACCTGCGTAAACTCGGCTTTTCACACACTAGTGCGACCTCTACAGTACTCATGAACCTCAGCTGAAGGCTTCTTGTAAGGAAGATGGTGCCCATCTTCCGAACAGGAAACTAGATGCCTGGCTACCGACAAAGTCCGTCCCTGTGCACGGCAACGATGAGCCGGGCGGCAGAGCTCGCACAGGAACGCCATACCCTGGACACTATCTATGAACGAACGGATGGGCGTACTGTACAGCACAGCGTGCCAGGACGAGCGCCAAAAATAAAAACACCGCCGCGTAAGCCTCACGCATGTCCCGTCCCCTTTGTCCCTCTTTAGGTCTTTGCCTAAAATCTTGCATTACCGAGCACAGGACTGCACTTTGCTGCCTTGTTTATGTCTCTCTCTTATGTTCAGCTAAAAGCTAACTCTGAGGCGGCATCGCTTGGGTGGTGGTGGCCTCTTCATAAAAACGCTGTGCGGGGCTGAAAATCTGCCAAGAACGTGCTAGACGCTGGTTCATTGATAGCAATTAGATGCTGTATCGTCACCTCGTGTCCAACATATAAAGGTGACCGCACATCCTATTGATCGCACCAGTTTAGAAGCAACTTTTCCCGTCATGGCGCAGAGTCCTCCGAGTACGTCGTACGATCCTGACCCCAAGTTCAAGCGTGAACGTTTAAATCAACATTACAGAGCATGCTCCTATACAGGGAGACATCAAGGGTTGGCAGAAACTCGCACGCGACAGCGCTCAAGGCGCCATGTACGACTCCAACGAACGCCAACCGCACTCAAAGTGTCTCTCAGGGACCAGAGTCAGCCTTCTGCAATCGCTCAGGACGCTTGCTGAAGATCCGAGCCGCAAGATCGTCTGGATGGCTGGAGAGGCCGGTTCGGGGAAGACAACGATTGCGCACACGTTTGCGGATGAGCTTCGTGTGGAGGGGAAGCTCGCAGGCACGTTTTTCTTCTCCAGAAGACATGCTAAGCGAAGCACCTTCGACCACGTCTTCCTCACCATTGCCTATCAGCTTGGCTTGCAGCACCCCCGTGTTCACGAGATCATCATGAAAGCCATCGCCGACGACCCCGCGTTGCTCGCCCAAGAAAGATCCCGCTTAGATCAATTCGAGAAACTGATCATCGAACCTTTGAAGCACCTAGGACAGATACGGAGAGGGGAGCCTGGCATGTCGCTCATCTTGGATGCCCTTGACGAAGGTACAACTCGCGGACTCCAACATGTCGAACCTTTTATCTCTCTTCTTGTCCGCCTTGTCCGAGATACAACGCTTCCCGTGCATACTATCATCATCTCTAGTAGGTCTTGGCCTCAAATCGATACAGTCATGCGCAGCAGCGTTCTCAACGATGTCATGAGGGTCGTGCGCCTCGAGGAGTACGACTCACGGGAAGACGTCGACCACTTCCTGCAGGATGCCTTTGACCGAATCTACGATGCGCGCGACGTTTCACACTTTTGCCCTAGACCCTGGCCTTCCCCACACGACTCTGTGATGCTCGCTCAGCGAGCGAACGGCCGATTCATTTTTGCAGCGACTATCGTTCGGATGATCGACCAAGATCAGCCTCATGAGCGTCTGCCGCTCGTGTGTAGCATGCTACGCGGTGACGTGGAGCAGGTGTGGGGCGACGTCGGTCACCTATACGCTTCCATCATCGACAGCGTTGAGCCTTCCACCCGCGAGACCGCGCTCAGATATATTTCCCTCCTCGCCAACCTTGCGGAGCCCCTGTCCCTCTCCGACCTCCGTCTACTGTTCGGCCTCGACGTCTATCCTCTTCTTGTACCTTTTTCGGCCTTGGTTTATGTTCCTCCCCCGGACTCCCGTGACGCTGTCCAGCTATACCACAGCACTCTCCGCGACTTTCTTGAACGTCGCAACTTGAAACAGAATGAAGACAGTCGGGTCAGCGCCAACAGAATTCACCATCCTTTAGCTATCCGCTGTTTTCGAACGATGGCGAGGATGCTCAAACGTGACATTTGCGAGCTTCAAGATCCATCGCTCCTGCACGACGAGATCCCCGACTTCCCCCAGAGACGTGATGCTGTTCCCCGCGCACTTCGATATGCCTGCCTCTACTGGTTTCACCATATGGAACGCCTTTTGCCGGATGGCGAAATTCAAGGATGTCTACTAGAATTCCTGGAGGGGCGACTTCTTTTTGCTGTAGAAGCGTGCACAGTCCTTGGGGAGCTTGATAGCGTAATTCGTCTATTCCGCGCCGCTCGCAAACATATCATGGTAATGTCACTACTATGGTTCTAACGCATGGCTGATTGTTTGCATAGGGATGGCCCGCCTCCTCGTTTCCTGGGATGGAGCAGACCACGGGTTTGCTATATGACGCCTGGAGGCTTGTCGTGGACTTCTACGATCCAATCAACGCCTCCGCTCTCCACATCTACGAGTCTGCACTCCCGTGCGCTCCGGAAAAGTCACGGATCCGGCTTACCTACTCCCGTGTTCTTGCTGAAGCCACTTCTTTTACGTTCGAGGAAGGCTTGGATGTCCAATGGGGCTGTGTCACCCGTGTCATCGAGATGAAGACAGATCAGTTTGAGCTCTCTCTCTCTCCTGATACCTCACAAGTTGCCGCGTTCCGCAGAGATACGGAGAGAACTGGGACAATCATGCTGTGGGACACTGCTACCGGAGCGCTCATCACATCTTATCTCCTGGAAGACATGACCGACGCTGTTGAGGTCGTTGACGTGTCCAAAAGGAAAGTCGAGGTTACTCATGGCGGCTCGTTTGTCGCGTTCCGAGATTCTCGACAATGTTACCTATGGTGGCCATCGAGTCAAAAGGTCGTAAAAATTGCAGCGCCGCAAGCAGAGGTTTTCTTTGGCCCTTTAGCCATTTCTCGTAATAGCGACAAGATTGCTTCCGTGTCCGTCTCTGCAAGAGCCTCTGCCAGTGACATGAGCAAAAGCTGCACCGTGCGCATTCACGATACGGCCTCGCTCCAGCCCATTTCCTCTTGGACGTTTCCCCCCCGGTTCAAGGAATTCCCGATTATAGGGCTGGATTTCTCATCCAAGGACGAATCTCTCCTTGTCCAAGCGGAGATGGTCACACAAACTGGAGATTGTTTGTTCAGCCTTATCCACGTCATTGACTCAATCGACGGACAACTACTTTGGCACGAGCAGTTCAACAACTACTGCAATGCCATTTTCAGCCCAGATGATGACATCATCCTCTGTTTCGATATAACAAACGTGATTCTTCTCAGGAGGGTGGTTAGCCCACAAAATGTTCGCGCTGTTCGGCCTAGCTCTCTGTTCAACTTCAGCTTGTCGACATTTCTCAAAGACAGGCGCTCCTCCCAACAGTTTTTGCGATCTTACGAAAAACTACCGGCCGTCGCTTGTGCAAAGGCGAGAACGTACAAACCAGTGGACTTGGAGGCATACCCACATGACCGTCCTGAGTACGTCGCAGACCCACTTCCAGATAAACCTGTGGCAATACGGCAAGGCGGGAAGATCTGCGCTTTGACTTATGGTGGTGGTAACATGAAGAAGACGAGGTGGAGGATGCAGAATGACGAGTGCTTTGGAATAGCCGACATTGTCGGGTATATCACTGCTCCGATAGTTGACTTATCTCTGACTGCGACAGTGCCGCCCATCAAATCCCCCAAGCTAGAGATGTGCAAGGCGTTGCAATTGGAGATCGAAGGTTACACGCGTTTACTTGTCTCAAAGCGAGGCGACGTGGCAGTCTATGGGTCAAAAGCAGCTCGGGGGAACAAATACATCCTTGTTGGCCTTGACTTGCAGTCCGTAAGGGATACTTTCCGCTGCAACATTGTACCCGACATTCCTAAGGTCGTTCATTCCCCATCAGTGGATATATCATCTCGGGAGCAGTTTGTCTTTTCCCCGAAGTCAACATATTTCGCAGTCCTGAATATTCGTGGAGGACGAGGTCACGTCCAGGTGTGGAATTCGAGGTCAGGCGTTCTCATTGGATCTGCCCCTGTCTCTCCCCCGTTTTTTGTGAGAACAGCCGGGTGGAATGCCATCTTTTCGGAGGATGAAACACTTTTGGCACTCTCAGACCATGTGCATTTTACGTCCTCGTTCATTGGCGTGTACTCCCTGGAAGGCAACACGGTCAAGCACTTGGGCTCAATATCCCCTTCTTTGTTTTGTAGAGCGCGATACTTATTAGCCTCGGTCACCCACGATGCAGTCAACTACTTCTATTATGGCGACAATTCTAACCTCTTTCATCATCTTCAATGGAGAAAGGCGACATCGACATCTGTTTCTGTCTCCTCCATCCCGAATCTGGGAAACATAATTCACATCGAGCATTCCGCAAGCTTTCAGCGAATCTACTGCCGCAGATATATGGAGAGTACGGAATCTGCTTTGAACTTGAAAAGGCCGGCAAGCGAGGGGACAGGGATGTATGAACTCGAAGAAGACGACGCCTCAAAGGTGTGTTACGACCACCGCTCTTGGTCCGACCTTTTTTGCATGGATGTGGATGGATGGCTCCGACAGCGTAGTCGCAGAATTTGCTGGCTTCCTCCGCGGTATAGGCCTGAAAAAATTGACTGGTTTGGCCTAGAGCTGATTGTAGAAGGGAATAAAGTGACAATCCTGAAACTACATGGTGATCAACGCGCTACTATACGACTACATAACACGAAGATCGAATACTTCGAGTAGGCGCTAAACGAACGGCGACTTATTCGGTACAACTGCTGTCGATTGCTCGTATATTATTACTCGTACTGCTTAACACGGAGATCAAGTATTTCGAATAGGTGCTAAATGAATGGCGATGTATTTGGTAGGGGGCCTGTTGACATATATCAATGGAGCTTGTTCATTTGCGTTGCTTTTCGAAAACACAGAGGAAAAGGCACGGATGAACTTGTCGTTGGAAGGTCAGATCTTCAGACCCGCCGAAATCGGACTAAAACCCTGAAACCGGATGCCTGGTCGCCACTCGCACTCAACGTGACACCACGTTTCTCAGCTTTCACACAATCACGTCCGCCAGAATGTGATGTTGAGGGCCCGCTTCAATTCTACTGATCAAATTAGAACACAACATCACTCCGTCTTGACCTTCTCCTCCCCAGGAGTTGGAAGGGCCTGCAAAGGTCCAGACATAACATACTCCCCCGCCGCGCATATACCCGCCGACCATACGAGAAGCAGGGAGGTGATGCAGAAGAAGCTGATCGACTGGCCGATCTCGAGCCATGACCCTATGCATCCGGTTCAACGATATTCGACATGGAGAGACAGGTAACTTACCAGTATCGGTGACACTAAGGAAGAAAGTGATCGTCATCCCTAAGCAAATCCCAGTCAGAAGTCGCCTAAGTCAGGAAGAGAGAGAGATAAGACACACCGTCGGTCAATGTGAGTGCAATGAGGAACAAAGAGTAGGGTGGCAGACGAAGGCGTGCGTTCAGCGTTGCAAACGCGGCTGAGAGGATGACGTAGGGCGCGACGATCTTGAAGACCTGAAGATGACACAGAAGCGGTGTTAAGCCATGCTAGCGGCGTAGATTTGAGTCGGCGAATGAGGAACTTACGAGCAGCGTAGCCATCAAGAAGGGATTGAAGATCGGAACGAGACGGTACACGGGTTCTAAGTAGAATGATCTGGGAACGCAAGCTCGGTCAGATGTCAGTACGAAGAGTCCGGGTGCGACAACTCACGATATTGACGCGACACTAGTAAAGAGTATGAGCATCAAGAGGTAGGGCGGTTGGGTTCAGGAGGATGAAACTCACTTTCCTGTCCCGAAGAATGCGACCTGCACAAAGAACAAGAAAAACATCGCGATCCGAAGATCGTCGATCTTGAACTCGTATATGCCCGCCCCTAACTTCACAGCATCCTCCTTCGTCTTCTCGGGCTCCTTAATCTCTGTCTTCTCATTCGTTTTCGCTTTCTCCTTCAACGCCTTCTTACCCTTCCCAGCCTGTGTGCCGGGGGCAGAAGCGACAGCCAGCGAAGTCCCATCTCCCCGGTACGCAGCCTCCATCTCGACCCATAGGTACATATTCCACGAGTATGCAACATAGAAGAGACCCTCGACGCTGATCGACAGAATGATGAAGCACACGCCGAAGCCGAGGAAGATCGACGCGAGTCGCGTTGGCGTGTCTCGGTGCGTGCGAGAGAAGAGAATGGGGAGGAGCGGGGCGAGGACTTATGTCCACGTTAGGTAGTCAGCCATCTTTTCGCGAGACGGGGCGAAAAACAACAAGCTCACCGAAGAGAACCCATCCCGAAACTTGGTTGACAAACGGTAACCCCTTCTTCGCCTGCAAGTTCGCGATCGAGTCGGACGTGACGCCTTTGGCAAGAGCGACGAGCACAATCTGCGAGAATCGTCAGCTTCAACACACAAGATAAAGTAGAACGAGATAACTAACCTGAATACCGACAGGAATCCCCTTACTCAGCGGAATATCATCGATACTCGTCACCGCAAACTGCGCGACGCCCGTAACCATAATCAAATCTGCCCCCAGAGATCTGTGATTCATCCTCGGTCAGCTCTCATGGCACCTTCTAATCGTTGAATGCGAGATACATAAAGAAGACTCACACCAACGCAGCGCTCTCCGTCTTGTCCACCGGCAAATACGGAAACACACCGACAACGAGACAGCTCGGCACCCAGAAACAGAGCAGCTTCCAGTGCTTCTGCGCCTTCTCTGGAGCCCATGAGAGCGGCCATACCAGCCCCAGGAAGCCGTACCCGATGCTCCAGACCTCGCGAACGGTGTACCCCGCCTAGACCCGCAGAAAAACACGTTATTCTTGTCGTTTTACGAGAGTAAAAGAAAGAAGACGACGCACAACCATAGACTGCAGCACACCCACGACCACAATACCCACACCTATCGCCTTCGCATACCTGACTCCACCTATCTTGGCCTTCTTCTCGCTCAGATAGCTCGAGAAGCGTGGATACCCCTTCACCAGAAACTCGCGCCAGAAGAAGCACGGGAACGCGACGTAGACGTAGAACGTCCACGGCGCCTTCTGCAGCGCGAACAGGCCCCAAAAGAGTCCAATAGTGAGGCTCGCGAGCAGATCGACGGCGTCGTGGTGCCCTCTACTCGCCCGCCGTGGCGGAGAGGATGCCGAGATGGGGAAAATGGAGAGGGAGGCGTAGGCAGCCCAGCCGAAGTACCCGGCGATGACGATGGCCTGGATGAGCAGCCGGTCGTATCTATCGTTCCGAACATCTTTCGTGAGAGGTTTGATGACTGGAGAAATGAGGAAGGGGACGTACGTCTCGAGATACCGAACGCCTTTCAAAAGCAGCTTGATGAACTTCGCTGACTCCTCTCGTGCAGTGGTGTACTCCCCGGCGCTTACAAGCCGCTCAATGCGCGCTACATTCGAGAACATGCCTCGATCCTCGATCTCCGCAAAGGGACGGTAGAACAGCGTGTGCTCTGCTTTCATCTCTAACCATCACGCCGCCCTAGTGAGCACAGTCCACTGAATATCATGGATGATAGAAGACGTACCGTGCTTAACCCGGTACTGCTCCCCAATAACCCTCACATTCGTCAGTGCCGCTCTCGCGAGATCCTTCTCACCACCTTTGGGCGCGAGATAACCCGCATGAGCAGGATCGATGTCCGGCAGAACGCCGACGGAGTTCACGGGCCAGTCAATCCCAATGAGCGAGGCCATGAGCGGTGCGATGTCTGCTTGGTCGACGTCTTGCCGCCGGAGATGGGATACGGGCCATGATAAAGAGTAGGCGTCATGTGACGATGGAGACGAGGAAGAGGAAAGGGGTACGTCGGGGAGGGGCCCGCGTATGCCGGCGCCCCACGCAATGAGCGGGGTGCGGGTATTGTCCGGGTCTGCGAGAGCGACGAAAGCTGTTGGTTCTGGGAGAAGAGGGAGAGTGGAGGAGACATACCTCCGTCACCATGATTACCGATCTTCGACATCCCGTGGTCAGCGGTGAAGACGAAGCTCGTCTCCTCGTCCCCATAAAACTCCCGGAAGAGCTGCTCAGTGTCTTTCACGATCTGATCGACTACTTGAATGTTGTCCATGTATTCCTACTCGCCCGTCAGCGTTCGCTTCAAACAAGGAAGCGGGATTTGTCACCTTCGAATGAGGGCGGTACGCATGACCTGTCGTATCGAGCCCAAGAAGATGCAGGAAGAAAACCGTCTTGTCGTTGCGGAGAGTCTTGTCGAGGTGCGCGTCTGATGAGGCGTTGTGGAAGAGCGTGCGGAGTTCGTCAAGGACCCAGACGTCCAGTGCTGTAGCGTCTACATCAACCACACAACGTTAGGTAGACATAATGACAATAAGTGTTCTTGACGAACCCTTGGTGAAATCCTCTGCCTCCTCATCGTAACTCCACTCGTCTACTCTGCCTTGAGTAGCTCCGCGTGCGAACATGGGGAGGATGTCAGGCGAGCCGAAGGAGAAAGTATGACTGGAGCGGTTGAACACGGAGTCGAAGTCCACCTGAACATAGTGTTAGAGATTCATTCTTGTACGGGGCTCAGGCGTACTTGCAGGATTCGTTTTCCATCCCTAGAAACCGCATATATGTTAGCACGATTCGGACAAAGGACAATAAAAACGAGGGGGACTCACTTTGGTCACTGCCGACACGTCCTCGTACATCCCGCCTTGTGCATACAATTAGGTTGCATAATCTTCGAAAGACGCGGTTTGGTCAGGAACATACCAATGATGGCGACATGTCCAGGACGCGACTCGGTCGGAACGCGGGTATGGGACACTCCAAACGCTCCTCTGTTCTGGGCAATGTCCATGAGGTACGGTGCGACAACATCGGGTCGCGAAGGGATAGAAGCAAACGCGTCTGGGGAGAACAGGGAATCGGCACGCAGGCCATCACCTGGGTGAAGTGTTAGGTGTGGCCCACGCGACTCGCGTACCAAAGGGCCGGTGACGCCTGAATGAAGAAAGTCTGCACGCACCGACAATGAGGACGAGACGTTTGGCCTCTGAAAAGCCAGCGTTGAAGGGTTGCATGCCATGGACGACGGGGCTGACGAAGTAGCAGTCGAAGACGGATGCAATGTAGACGACGTGGAAGACGAGGCCGATGGCGAGCAGCCGGAGTACGTTACGGTTCGAGGTTTGTTTCATGCTGAGACCGGCTAGCTTTTAGCGATGCATAAAGAATGGGTGGGACGAGAGAACGATGTGTGGTATGTCGGCCGAGGAGGTTTTAGAATGTTGTTGTGGGGAATGCAATTGAGGACACGCTCGACACCGACGCGCCCGACATCCTTGCACCATCCGCACCGCGGTCTTCCCACAGTCCTCTCCCCTCGCCAGCATCCAGACCGACGGATGTTCCTTGTCCCCAAACCTCAAAGCACCAGCAAATCGCAAACTCTCCATTATTCTGTGACCCGAAAGCCTTAATCCAAACACATGTATCCGGTAAACCCCCAAAAGGGCCTACCGCAGTCACCCCGATTACCTCTGGGCACGCTGGCGACCCAGGCATCAAAGTTAACGTCCAACGTCTGCCGCCACAGGGCCGCCCAACCCAGTTCTTTGGCTCTCACACTGCCGCGCAAGTTTTGGAACTTCTGATCGTCTTGCGCCTTGTGCGTGCGGGAAATCGATGGTACCAGTGGACAGATCGCTCGATGCATTTATCTTTGACCAGTGCTCATCCGCACCGCACGACTTCTTTCTCAGGATCGCTCCCAGGGATTAAGGAATTCCGCAGACCGTCACTCCCGCACGCAACTCGCACACACCATTATATTTAGCCTTCTCTGGTTCATAAATTCGACATTTGGACATCTCCATTCCCATTCTCCCTCTGCCCTGTTTCCATTCTCTCAGGGGTTGTGGACTGATAGGCGTATATAACCTTTTTACTAATCATCCTTTTGACACTCCTCTCCACGTCGATCTCTCCCCAGACGAATCACCCACAGAATCACCTCGCCCTCGTACATACCAAGGATGTCCGTCTCCCTCCCTCCTGAACTCTGGCTCCGCATCTTCAGCGAGGCTACAGCAACTCCAGGCCTACTCGACAGTGATTCGGAGTTCACCTCAGATCTGCCCATTGCCTGGGTTCGTCAACAAGAGCGTCGAACGATCAAAGATTCTTTACAAACGAAACGAGCCCTGGTACTGGTTTGCAAAGACTGGAACTCACTCGCTAGCGAGTTCCTCTACCAGAGCATCCTCATCACCCGCGTCGATGCCCTTCGCCCGCTACTCAAGAGCCTCAAAGCCTCCGCCATGCGCTCCTCCACCACATCCACACCGACCTCCTCGGACCCCGACAGCTCCACTCCGACACAGGAGTCCAACGCCCACTCCGTGCCGCACGGCTTTTGGACCCGCCGACTGGACGTGACGATCCAAGAGGACCGGTGTGAGGCCGCACACTACGACTTGCTCGCGCAAGTGATCGGCCATCTACGGAGCCTCGCCGTCTTCACGCTCGCCGTGCCCATGCTTCCCTTCAATGATGTATGGATCCGCCACGTGCCGGTCGCCGTGCTCGACGCGCTCGTCCGCACCTCCGCGGACTCGCTCAGGGTTTTTGACTGCGCGGAGAGCATCCTGCGCCCGAGCAGGTGAGCTGGACTATTCTTGCACGCGTTCTTTGAATTGTGTTATTTCGGCTTCGACTTTCATTTTTGTGCTGTCGCGTCATGAGCTGCGCCGGTGCCTGTGCGGGACACCGCGCCCCGAGGAAGAGAAGCCAATGTGTTTTTGGATAGCGCTCGCTTCGTCTTCGGTCGGGGCACTTGCACACGATATGTATTGCGCTATTGTCAAACGTTCCGCTCACATGTTTTCGCGGTATAGGAATGACCTCATGCTCCTCCTCTCCGCCACGCGCAACCTGCGCGTCCTTCGGTGTCCCATCTGCTCCCCTACCCCGGGAGACAAATACGCCGCCTCGCGCGCCGAAGTGCCCCTGATGCCCTCGCTCGAGTCCCTCTCGCTCATGTCCGTCTTCGTGAACGACTACCTCCCCCGCTCTCTCCCTTCCTCTCCGTCCCCCTCTTCTTCCTCTTCACCGTCCGCAACCCCCGCCCCGGTCCCCGAGCCCCGCCGCACCCCGTACCCCATGCTCCGGCAGCTCAGCTACGACTCCATCCCGCCCCCCTTCTACGACACCCGGTGGAACACCTTCCTCTCGCAGCACTGCGCCAACATCACCTCCGTGCGCATCGACTTCTCCCTCCCCGCCTACTCTCTACAGCGCGAATTCGACCTGCTCGAGGAGCACTGTCCGCGCCTGTCCAAGATCGCGATCACGTTCGTCACGTGGGAGACGATGAAGCCGAACTTTGTGTTGCCGGGGACGGTGAGGGAGCTCGCGCTGTGCTGCAAGGTGCAGGTGCCGCCGCCCGCGCATGTGCGCGCTTTGTTGCTGGCGTTGAAGAGTCTGCGGGGCGGGAAGCTGGAGATGGTCAGGTTGTGTTGTGGAGTTTTTGTTAGGGAGTTGAGAGAGAATCATGGGGAGAAGTTGAGGGAGGCGGGTGAGGTACTGAAGAAGAGAGGGGGCGCGTTCAGGGTGGAGGACGAGGAGGGCGGGCTGCTCATTCCGCTCTAAACTCGTGTCGCGCATAAAATTGCAAGGCATCCGGTGCTCGTATCTCATTTGTTTTCCTTCTGCTCAGGCTCTTATTCTTGTTGTTTTGGTTGTTGCGCTCAACTTGTGGTCATCTGTATTTCTAGCCCCTTCCTGTATTACTATCTGCCTCCCCGTCCGTTCATCGCACAAAACACGACTCGATGCCCCCCTTTGGCAATGTACTGCTTGCGCAATGATCATCATTGCACGCTCGATATAGTTCTTGATATTGCCTTTGACTCCGAGCCGGCGCCGAGGGCAGCGTGGGGCATCCCTTTGAATTGAGCCACAGGGGGCCGAGGACATGGTCTGCGTTTAGCTTTTCCAGCGTCTTCGATTGGATATGGTTCGGTGCGGCCTCCGCGAGGTTGTTTTCCTGATCCTGTATCTCTATCACGTTGAGGTTTTGCACGCCACTTTTGTACGGTTGCGCAGCAGTTGCATCTGCAATGGTTGCTTGTGTGTTCGGGATCACATCGATCTCAGCACCGGAACACAAATATAGTGTGATGCGAAGGTGAAGTGGTGTTATGGAACTTTTCCTCCTTCACGGTGCTCTTTGCAATGCATCGTGTCCGGGTCTCAGAATTCATGAGCCTCAGGCCGGTCATACGTTATTATGCTAGGTACTACCTAAAGTATTATGCAGTCTTTTCGCTGACCAACTAGTACGAACTGTGCTCCATCTCGCCACTTGCATACTTGGCTGTTTACGCTGCTGTAGTCGATCTTTATCGTCCAGTGGAATGTCGGCAAAGGTTTTGCCAAGGTTTCCGTTGAAGGAAACTAACGAACACTTCCAACTTTTCATGTTTTCGGGAATTGCCGCCAAATTGCCGCGCCAGTTCCCAGACCTGTGCAGTCGCAGAGAGCCCATGCTGTGAGTGTCTCTTATCCTTGCACCACATGAATCAGAGTACCTCCTCCCACACACGCATTCATTGTGAGTCGGAATTAGCCAACGTTAATGTCAACCCTAGCACACGCTTCCGTCCGGGGAGACCTGGAAGACTGGAAGAAGCTCGCGCAGGAATGCGCCCAAGGCGCTATCTACGACTCGTACGAGCGTCAGCCTCACTCAAAGTGCCTGCCAAACACCCGTGTAAACGTCCTGAATGACATCAAGGCCCTCGTCCACGACGGATCCCGCAAGATGATATGGGTCTCCGGCGAGTCCGGATCCGGAAAGTCCACCATCTTGCACACGCTGGCGGATGACTTGCGCCAGGAGGGCACTCTCGCTGGCACGTTTTTCTTTTCCAGAAAGCACGCGAAACGGAGTACGTTTGAGCGTGTCATCCTCACGTTTGCGTATCAGCTCGGTTTACAGCATCATGTCGCCCAAGAAGCCATCACGAAAGCTATCCACGATGACCCTGCTCTCCTCTCCTCTGAGAAGTCGCGTCGTGATCAGCTAGAAAAGCTCGTCATCGAGCCCCTGAAGCACTTGGGGCACCTTTGGCGAGAGAAGGGTGGTGTTTCTCTCATCCTTGATGCTTTGGACGAAGGTACAGCAAGTGGAACACATCACATCGACCCCTTCGTACAGATGTTGTTCCGTCTCATCCGCGAAAGCTCTCTTCCCATCCACAACATCATCATTTCCAGCAGACCGTGGAGACAGATCCGTGCTGCCTTCTTCAGCGAGTCGCTCGCTGACATACTCAGAGTTGTTCGACTTGAGCAGTATGACTCTCTCCAGGACGTTGACTTGTACCTTAGGCATTCATTCGAATGGATACATGATACTCACGATCTCGCCCCCTTGTGTTGTAGACCTTGGCCCATACCTGACGATTTAGGCATGCTGTCTGACCGGGCCAATGGTCGTTTCATATTTGCAGCGACCATCATTCGCTTCATCGATCAAGATCAGCCTCAGGGTCGCCTTGCGCTCGTGTGCAGCATGCTGCGGGGCAGCGTTGATCATGTATGGGGGAACATCGACCACCTTTACTCTTCTATTATCAATAGCATTGACGCGTCTACTCGTACCGTCGGCCTCCGGTATCTCTCCCTCATTATCCATCTTGCTGAGCCCCTTTCACTATCCGACTTGTACCAGCTCTTTGGCGTCAATGTCCATTCCTCCCTCCTCCCATTCTCAGCTCTGATACATGTCCCCAATCCTGACTCTCTTGATGTAGTCCAAACGTTTCACAGCTCTTTCCCTGATTTTCTGCGAAGGGAAATCGCACGAATCGGGGTTGAGAGTCCTCATTCTCATCGTGCATTGGTTAACCGCTGCTTCTTGACAATGGCTCGGCTGCTGAAGCACGACCTGTGCAATCTCGGCGACCCCTCGTTACTTCACGACGAGATTCCTGACTTTGTCCAGAAGCGTGATTCCATTCCACGCGCACTACACTACTCTTGCCTCCATTGGCTGCATCATCTTCGTCAGTGCTCACTAGACGAAGAAATTCAAGTTCAGCTTCTCGACTTTCTAGAGAAACGGGTCATGTTTGCCATAGAAGCATATGCGTTACTGGGAGAGCTATACACCTGTATAGAGATACTCCGAGCCTCCAGAAAACTGGTTATGGTAAGACCAACTAGTCTGCCTTACATTTATGCCGTTCGAGACTTATACCTGCACTTGGTACAGGAATGGTCTTTCTCCCACAAAAGCGAAGCTCTGGATCTTCTGTATGATGTCTGGCGAATGACAGTAGAATTCGCCGTTCCGATTAGCTGCTCAGCCCTTCATGTGTACGAATCGGCTCTCCAATGTTGCCCCGCAAAGTCAAAGCTACGAGTCGTGTATGAACACTCGGGTCTCATAAGACCCACCATGTTCATAGTAGAAGACGGGCTGGATGATCATTGGGACTGTGTTACGCAAACCATCAACCTCTCTGGCATAAGGACATTCAAGTTATCTCCTGATAACTCACGGATCATAGTATTCACGGAGGATGGTTATTTTAGTGTGTGGGACACTGCCTCAGGATTCCTGATCTCGTCGCTCTTCATAACATCGGAATGCGCCCAAACTCCCAAACTAGCTATCAACGGTTACACGGCAGCGCTTCTTTGGTCGGAGCAGTGTACGCTGTGGAACTTGACAGACAATACGCTTCATTGTCTAGATATCCCTCCTCCATCAAAGCCGATATGGCCCATGGCATTCACAGGCGACGGTACCAAAATTGCCCTGACGTGCTCATTCGAAACGGACATATATCCTCCGCCCCCAGCCTGTGCCATTGTTGTCTTGATATACGACGTAGACACACAGCGTCGCGTATGCCAATATGTAACCCCCCGTGCACCTCCCAGTGCCATTGGAAGCCATATCTCCCTGGATTTTACCTCGGACGGCCGGTCGCTAATGATTGCATACGAGGAAAATATCTCCGTGATTGATACAGCATCCGGACAGCTCCTTTGGCATAGTTGTTGCTCCTCCCGTTCATATACATGTCATTTCTTCAGTCCAGATGACCGCTCGATCATTCACATGGACAAGTACAAAGACAGCGGGAACACGGAAGTAAACCTTCCTGACTCACCACTGGATGCATGTCAGGGCGTCGAAGGCCGACGCCGGGGACCTTACTGGTCTAACACTGCCAGTGGCTCAGAGCCACTAACTTCAAGACAAGTGCATAGCGAGTCCTCGAACCAGACGTCACTAATGGCCTCCCCGTCCCCGTTTCCCCTTTCTTCCTCTCCAGATTATCAGGCCATATCCGAAGTAAATGCTAAATGGATCAAATGGGAAGGCATCGCTATAGGAGTGAAGATCGGGGACAGAATCGCTGGCGTTCACTTGAATGTCCGCTCACCAAGCAAGAGTCTCTGGAAATACGAACACGAAGATTGGTATGGCGTACAAAGAAATAAGCAAGACCAGTTCGATATCGTGGATCTCGCTCATGCTACCCTCCGCTGCTCCACACAAGAACCAGACTCGGTAGCCCCAATACATGATCGAGCTAAGTATTCAGTCTGCGCCTCAGGAGACGCAAGCCTGAGAGCCTATGTATCTCACGCTGGCGACCATTGTGTCCTTATGAGCTGCGATTTCGCAACCGCTGAGGAGTTCCTTTGCCAAATTTCCATCGACACGTCCACTGTCGACGATGAGTTTCCTCTGGCTCCACTACATACATGGGTTGGGCTTTTTTCTCCGAAGTCCACTTACTTTGTGATGCAACCTTGCGGCCATCAGGATCAGCTCCAGCTGTGGCACTCTCGGCTGGGGTACCTCGTTTCAGTATTGAAGATTCCACACCCGATGTGTACTATCGAACAAGTCCACTTCTCCGAAGACGAATCCATGGTAGCACTCCGGCTAAATGGAAGCCCGGACGATCAGTGCATGATCGTTTTGTGCTCTTTGAATGGTGGCGAAACCACCCAAATCGCGCAATTCTGTCCTCCGTACAATAGCAATGCGTGGGTACCATCGGTATTTTGCCAGATTACCTGCGTCGACCAGCATGGCGTCGATTTTTGGTGTAGCAAATCCGACGAAGCTTCCCTTCACCGTCTCCAGTGGCGAGTCGCTACGGCTACGGCTTCTACAATCGCGTCCTGCCCAATGAAATCATCTCTCAACCCATTCTATAGCCAGCTCTATTACAATCCCAGCTTCACGCGACTTTACTTTTGGACGGATCTTCATGGCTGGCACGCTATGAACCTGAAAGCGGACACGACTGGCTCCATGAAAACGGAAACGGAATATTCATATGAACATGATGATAACAGTGGCCCAGATACTTCCTATGACACGCTGTCGTGGTCTGACCTTTGCGTAGATATGCAAGGTTGGCTTCGAAAAAGGAAGCGTAGGATCTGCTGGCTGCCTCCGCGATACAGACCCAACGAGAATTGGTACGAACCTCTAGAACTCATCGTAGAAGGTGAAAAAGTAACGATCCTACATCTTCGTAACGATAAGAAGTTAACTATCCGATTGCTGAATATCACAGTTGATTTCTTTGATTAGGTAGACGGACAAGTGCTTTCACAATTTGACGCACCGTGTAATATACTATTCTTTTATGACGTGTCTGCATACCTGTGGTCTGCCTTCTAGCAATCATGCTGAAGCGAAAATCTGGGTGGGCTCCTATGGGGTTATGTGCTATATTGAAACAAAAAGAGTCATGCAGATGATCTGTTCTGCATTCAACGGAACTCGCTACCACCGCCCGAGACCGCCGGGGTTCGTCTGCATTGTTATTTGATTGTTATTGAGCGAGGCAAGGAGCGACGTGCTGGGAATCCGCTTCAGAAGGATGTTTATGGATTACCATTGGCTTCAGACAGCTTCTCCACAGTAAACGTGAAATCCAGAGGAAGGTTGTCCAGACGCATGACCAAGTCAGACGATGACGGTGAGACAAGTCGCGGCTGAGAAGCGGCGGAACAGCCGGCCCGCGGCGGCGGGAGGAGAACGGTATGCGCACTCTCGGGGTTTTGGAAGACATGACGAGCGCGTCCCTTGTTCCTCCCATCCCATGACCATGCAGCACGGCTAACGGTGAGTATATGAGCGCAGTAAGTTCGAGCGAGATTACTCACAATACTATGTCGCTCTCATTGACAGTAGTGACGCTCTGGCTACTTACTACCGCAACGTTAGTCTTAGGAGCAGCACCTAGCGGCCCCTGGGATGCGTTCAATCTCGCGCCTACATCGAGGACTGTCTACCCAACATCTGTCTACAAGAGCGAAGGCTTGGTTTTGAATGCTGAGGGCCTTACTTCCTCGCCAGAATCGGAGGCAGCAGTGGGGAATGCTACACTGAACGGCAACGGCGCGTGGGTGGCTCTTGACTTTGGCAAAGAGGTGTGTGCCCAGTGTAGCTCTTCCTTAGCCTCGGTTTGATTTACGACTACTTGGCATGAACAGGTCGGTGGATGGGTATCCCTCAACTTCGAAAATGTCTCCTCCACCTCTTCCATCTCCCTCGCATTTACCGAGTCGCCCCTCTTCATCCGCCCCGACGCGTCAGATGACTCGTCTTATCCCGATGCTACAACCAAGTATGACGGCGTCATGAATGTGACTGCGCCTATTTCCGAGGGATACTGGACTCAGCCGAGGTACATGCTCCGCGGTGGGTACCGATACCTGACCATCGTGAGCCACGACGACGCGCCAGTGACGATCTCCAACGTGTCGTGCGAGATCTCGTTCTCGCCTGCTACCGAGAACATGACCGAGTACGCGGGGTACTTCTACGCGAAAGATCCGGAGTCTGAAGATAGTGATTTCTTGACCAAATGTGAGCTGCCCTTCGGTGACGATCGATGGGGACATCCGGCTAACGTGGCCGTTCAAGTGTGGTACGCGGGTGGATACACCGTCCAAACAAACGTTGTTCCGCTCGATACTGGAAGACAGGTGCCCTTTGTTTCTAGTGGTACGGGGACCTTTTCATTCATCTACTCTCTTGGCTCACCCCAGACTATCAGGCTGGGCCAACAACGCGACTCTTGGCGTCGCTGGTCCTATCATCGTTGACGGCGCAAAACGCGACAGGTAAGCACCATTCGTCAAATGAATAAGAGCGTCTCATACACTAAACCGACGTTTTCCAGAGCCGTATGGCCAGGTGACATGGGCATAGCCGTCCCATCCGCCTTCGTCACTACAAACGACCTCGTCCCTCCCAGGAACGCGCTCTCCACCATGTTCGCGGCGCAGGATCCAACGACCGGTGCTCTTCCCGAGTCAGGTCAGCCGCTCTCTCCTCGTATTTAGTGACGAGCTCCGTTTACTGAATGATTTGCTTGCAGGCCCACCGCTGAGCCAAACTGGCTCAGACACATACCTCATGTGGACGCTTATCGGCACATACAACTACTACCTCTACACGGGCGATACGGAGTGGTTCTCGACGGTGTGGACGAACTACACCCGCGCAGTCGCCTACATTGAGAGCAAGGTCGACGACACGGGACTTCTAAATGTTACTGGTCTGCGTGACTGGGGACGGTTCGGCCAAGGCGGGCACAACGCCGAGGCGAATGCGATCCTGTACAGGGTACACTCATCCGCCTCGTTCTTAAAGGCATAACCCACTCATAAATTTCGTGTAGCTCCTCATCACGAGCACAGCCCTCGCAACCTACATAAACGACACATCCCTCGCCTCCGCCTACAGCTCCAACGCCTCCGCGCTCAAATCCACATTCAACAACGCCTTCTGGCTCGTCGACGCCGGCCTGTACCGCGACAACGAAACAACGCTGCTCACACCGCAAGACGCCAATTCCTTCGCCGTCCTCTTCAACCTCACGCAGTCCGCCGCCCAAGCGCAAACCATCAGCGCGAACCTGAAGAAGAACTGGGTCGCGCTCGGGCCGGTCGCGCCGGAGCTGCCGGACACGATCAGCCCGTTCATCAGCGGCTTCGAGCTGCAGGCGCACTTCGCGGCGGGCAACGACGCCACGGCGATGGACCTGCTGCGCCGCGAGTGGGGGTACATGCTGTACACGAACGTCAGCGTGCAGTCGACGCTGCTGGAGGGGTTCACGACCAACGGCTCGCTGTAGTATGTCTTCGCATGACCATGGTGTTCCTTTACCCTAGTGACAGGCTGACGCTTCGCCCGCAGCTACCGCTCGCAAGACGGGTACAACTACGGTCCGTCCTCGCTCCTTCCCTCTTTCCTTTCCCTTCTCCGACTTCCAACAGCTAACCCGTTCACACAGACCCCGCATACACCTCCCACTCACACGGCTGGTCCACCGGCCCCACCTCCGCGCTCACCTTCTACGTCCTCGGACTCACGCTCACAGCACCACAAGGCACCACCTGGTCCGTCGCGCCGCACTTCAGCGGCCTCCCCGCCGCGCAGGGCGGCTTCGAGACCCCGCTCGGCGCGTTCGGCGTGCAGTGGACGATGGCGGGCGACGGGCGGAGCGTGTCCATCGTCGTGCGGACGCCGGAGGGCACGAGTGGGACGGTCGCTGTGGCGAACGCGACGGCGGCGGTTGTGGATGGGCGGAGTGTACAGGGTAATGTGGGGTTGTTAGAGTTGCAGGGCGGGACGCACAATGTTACGCTGCAGCTCTGAGGTTCCCCTCCTACCAGGCATATTGTCCCGTCTTCATTGTCCACGAGAAGGTTTCACTTTCGGAGTTGGTTGCGATTGTATACATTGAATAAATAACGTGCACCGGGACCATGCGCAATAAGGTACAGAGGGATGTCGTGCCGTGCAGAATGCATGCAACGATGCTACAATGTCTCGTCACAGTAAAAGAAAATCAAGATACACCCGTATGTACAACCGGGTAACGCCCCGCCAAATCCGCCAAAGCCCAAATCCAAAGCTCGTGTACAAAGAGACACACCACCCTGGTGCCCGCAGGACTACCGAGCAAGAACGTCCAATATTAAGGCAAGCAGGGCGGAAAGAAATATGCACATGGGCTTGCGGCAAGGGCCCAAGCTGAAGTTGATGTTGATGTTGATGTTGAAGAAAGATGGCAGGAATTACGCGAGGTATGAAGCGGGGTGGATTGCAGGAAGTATATGCCATGCGTGCGTAAAGGGGTCGTCATCGATGAAAGCGAGGATATGCAGGAGAATGATTGGGGAAGAGGGAAGAATGCTCTAGATGTGCTGTCCGTGTACATGAATGGATGGAAGAACGAGAGAGGGGTGCGATAATGCAGAAGGTCCATGGTGTCCATGAGGCGTGGATGAAGAATCGCAGAGAAATAAATAGGAATGGAGATCATGAGGTCGTGACGTGGGTCGTGACTGGTAAAAGGTGATCGAGTGCAACAGGCCATGATGAGGTGACATGGCATGGGCAAGCCCAGTACGTGAGGGACAGGCGGTGGTGGCGACGAGGGTGGTAACCGTCAGAAGACGGGGTGGCCAGACCAGAATGGCAGCCGTCTTCAAATCCTCAGCTCCCTAAACCCCCTCACATCCACCCTCCCCGTCCCATTCCTCAACCACTCCCCGTCCTCTTCTTCGTCCCCTTCATCTTCATCGCCCTTCGACATGTCCACCGACACCGGCTTCGAAGCGGTGCCAGCGCTCCGCTTATACCGTCCACCAGGAATAACGATCTTCCCGGCGCCTGTCCGCTTCGCGACGAGCGCCGCTCGCGGCCGAGGCAGCCCGAGGGCTTTCCGCTCGCGCTTCGTGAGCGTGCGCTGATGATCGGGCTCCGGCTCTGTGGGAGGTGAGGCTCGGGCAGGTGGGGTGGGTATTGACGATGCAACGGACGATGAGCGAGTCGACGCCGCCGAGGAGTCGGGCGTCGACAGGCCAGGTGTTGGCGGGTCGTCGTTGTCCTGGTCGTGGTCTTGATCACCGTCGCAGGCGACTTCCTCATCTGGGGGACGAACAGCCGCTTTCCGCGAGCTCCGTGTCCGCTTGGCCACGCTTTCGGTGGTGGACGCTCCCGACGACGACTCGTCGAACGAGCGCTTGGGGGAGCGATGTGAGCGGAGTGTGTCTGCAAGGAGCGTCGCCTCCCGCACAAGGGAGACAGCGGCGGGCTCCAGCATGTCGACGCGGGAGGAATGGGGTGACGAGGACGACGATAGTGATGAGAGTGGTGAGGGCGAGCGAGAATCAGGGAGCGGGATTTGTGCGGGCGTTGCCATGGTGCTCTCCTCCTGCTCAACCTCGACGACCTTGGCTGCCTTTTTCTCCTTGACGCTCTTCTTTGCAAAACGCCCATTCTGCGTCCGCTTGAGGACTCGCGACTCCGCCTTCGCCTCGCGTCGTGCCTTGGCAACAGATGGCGGCTTCATCCGTGGGGACGATGCTACTGATATTGATGATTCGGCCTCGAGAGCCATCTCGACCACCTGCGGCAGGCCCGTATGTGGGCCGCGCAGATTCCGAATCGACGAAAAGTGTTCCCAGTCGTGGTATCTATATCGGTGAACACCCCATTGTTAGCCTAGGAAGAGAAGAGTTGTCGAGGAGCGATGACGCACGCGACGTATACGGGCCCCGTCTCGGCCATCATGTCCTCGTCCCCGCCTTCCTGCTGATGCTTCCTCTTCGACTTGGGTTTTGAATCGCTGGAGTCCTCCGCGGCGGCGACAATGTCCCCGCCAGCCGCCCACTCGATGACGTAAACGAGACCGGGCTGGATGACCTTGACATCTCGCCGTTTCAGATGCGAGAATGACGACAACTCGAGGTGGCCACCATAGGTCCCTGCGTTGGGCGGTTAGTCCAGCGTTTATTGCACGAGGGCGAGGGCAGGGTGGAGATAAGGAAGGGAAGAAGAGCGTAAAACGTAAAATGTTACGTAATGCGAGACGAACCTTGTTCCCTCATACACCGCAAATGTGCAGCCAGTCCCCGCTCGTCCTCGCAAAACGGCTCATACCGCTGTGCATGCCCCTCGATCCAGTCGCATATTTCCTTGCGCAGCTGGAGGTGGTATGAGGGTGTGCCGTAGAGCTGGTCTGAGAGGGCGCGGAAGAGACAGTTGCCGTCGCCGACCGTGTGAGCGGGGTAGAGCCCCATCGAGCGGAGTTGGGCCGTCAGCTGCTGTGTGTTCTGGGCGGGGTCGCTAATTCCTACGGCCTGCAACAACACAAGTGCACCACACAGCGCGGTCAGTACACACACGTCTCGGTTGGAGGGGATGCATGGAGCGGAGAAAAGTGCTGACTTTGCCCTTGGATCTTGTCATGCGCGACCGGGCTGAGTAGCGATGCAGAGATCAACGAGCTGTTCCGTTCGAGCAAGAGACACGACCAGCTCGACACTGGACAGAGACAAAACTCACTTGGTGCTGTCTGTCGTACGCTCCTCTGCTGCTGTTTCTTGGATGTGCCCATAGTTGTAATAATATAAAAAACAAAACGAAAAAAAACTGGTGTGTCGAGGATGTCTGGTATGTGATGCTGGTCGTTAATAAACCAGGAGATCCCACGTTTCGGGGTCCCCGGCAACCAGCACCGGACCCCGCAAACAACTCTAAGCGGCTCGTCCCGCTCAGCCGACGACCTCCTGATGCATCTCTCATCTTCAACACAATACGATAAGACTAGATATATCCACTCCCTCTCGCGTCTCGACAATCGATCAACCCAGACTGCTCGTGCGTTCGAAGAGGGCCAAGGGCAACACGCGCAGAGGGCCACCGCTTCGGGTTCATTCTCAGCCTGAAACTGCATGCAGGCTGCGGCGTGTCACCGCTTTTTACATCAAAGATGATCGGCTTCCCACCCCCTGCTCCGTTGGCGGCGCAGGCAGCTTCCCTCCTCGCTCAGACGTGAACTCCTGATATCTGCACCCCCATCAGCCCAGCATGTCTTCGCATCGAAAACCAAACGCTCACATTCTCCGCAGACGCGCCTGCTCCTCGAAAGCGACAGACGGCCGTGTCGTCTTGAGTGCCTCGAGCAGATGAGCTTGTGATACTTCATGCTACATCACCATATGATCATGAACACGTCTCCTCTGTTCTGAAAAAGGCATGTCCTCACCTGCCTAGCGGCTGCCCCAGACGCAACAGCGACCTTCTTCCCCATCTGCTCGCCCCTCGAGGCCGCCCTGATGCGTTCGAGCTGATGGAGACGTTAGCACGGCTTTGAGCACTTGCCACCGAAGGACGCCCAGCTCACCCTATCCTGAATAACCCGCTCATCCGCCTTCGACATCTTCACTCCGGCACTCCCACCGTCCTTCCCTCCCATCTTGACGAACTTGAGCGCAGGCTTGTCCCCAGCCCCAGCCGACCTCGACACCTTGGGCTGCTCGGCAATCGCAGCGTGCACGACGGCGAGATGCGCGTTGTACACGAGCGCCTGCAGGTCCGCGCCTGAGTATCCCTCCGTCTGCGCCGCGATCTCGCCAAGGTCGACCGAGGCGTCGGTAGCCACTTTGCGGCTGACAGCTTCCAGGATCTGCAGTATGAGGCAGGGTAAACGACCGAGGAGGTTAATCGCGAAGCTACAAGGCTGAGGAGCGAAGGACTTGCCTCTTTACGGTCGGATTCGTCGGGCATATCGCACAAGAGGGACTTGTCTAAACGTCCGGGCCGGAGGAGCGCAGGGTCGATGAGGTCCGGTCGACTTGAGTATAGTCAACATAATACAGTATGTTCATAATGTTAGTAGCGTACCTCGTAGCAGCAAGCACATAAACACCTTCCAACCCCTCTGCCCCATCCATCTGCGTCAACATCTGGTTCACCACCCGGTCCGTCACACCCGTGCTGTCGTGCCCTCTAAAACCCATCAATCCAAAAATCAGCCCCGCTTCATTTCAGCTCACGAGCGAACATGAAACGCACCGCTTCGGCGCAATCGAATCAAACTCGTCAAAGAACAGCACGCACGGCTTCGCCGACGTCGCGCGCTCAAATATATCCCTGACAGACTGCTCAGACGCGCCGATGTACTTGTTGAGCAACTCGGGGCCCTTGACGCTGATAAAATTGAGCCCGCATTCCTTCGCGACGGCGCTCGCGAGCATCGTCTTGCCGCACCCGGGGTAGCCGTAGAGCATGATCCTTCACAATCAGGTAACCAAAACACCGTAAGCAGCTGCGCTGAAGTGAGAACGGGAGAGGGAAAGGAGGAACGCACCCGCTCCGCAGCCTGAGCGGCGACTGCCTGAACACGACCGCGTACTTGGTCGGCCACTCGATCGTCTCGCGCAGCACGCGCTTCGTCTTTCCCAGCCCGCCGACGTCCGCCCACTCGACATCGGACTTCTGCAGCGGCACGTCGCGCAGCGAGAGCGGGACAAAATCTTTCTGCGCGCTGACAAAGTCCGCGGCGCTCAGCGCCGTTCCTGGCGTCTGCTTTCCGATATTAGCCCACGGCGCCTCCACACCCTCTGGGCGGTTAAAGCGTACCTTGGTCGCAACCTCAGCGCTCCCATTCACCTTCGCACCATCTACACCCTTCCCTTTGCCCTCCCGCCCATTTCCGACCCCATTAACGACATCACCAGCCACCTCCGCACGCACCGCCACAGCACGCATCGCAGCCTGATGCACCGCCCTGCCCACCAGATCATCCAGATCCGCAGGCGCAAACCCCTCCGTCGCCGACGCCACCAACGACACGTTCGGCGGATCCTGCTCGTCCTGCCTCAGACTCGGCGCGTGCTTCAGCCGCTTCTCGATCAGACTCGAGATGATCTACCATCACCCAGCGAGGCACCCTCGCGTCAGCTTACTGTCCCAGAGAGGGCGGAGGAAAGGGAAGAGAAGAGAAGAGGCTCACAGCCTTCCGCGCGTCCCGCCCGGGCGGCATGAGCGCCCACACGCCGCGCCAGAGGTGCTTCGTGCTTAGGAGCGGGTGCACGCCCGCGTGGCTCTGTGCCGTCGCGAGCATGACGATCCCGCGCGTGTCGGGCGCGAACTGCCGTGCGGTGCTGCTGAACTGGGCGACGAAGAGCTCGGTGATGTTGCGTGTCCGGAAGGAGTCTTCGTTCTGCGAGTGAGATTGTCAGTCGCACTTGCTCAGGAATGTGGGATAGAGACATAGTATTATATGATGATGAATCGCGGAAGAGGGTGCGGACGAAGGGGGGACTGCATGATGGAGAGCAAAGGAAGGTGTGGCTAAGAAAAACTCACCTCCTTCTCAGCACCCATGACCTTATCCACATTCTCAAACACAAGCACGGCCGGGCGATGCCACGCCACCTTTGCGTACGCGTAGTGGAACAGTTCTTTTAGTGCCTTCACCGGCTTTGACGCATACGCCTCCAAATCGATCTTATGCACGTCTGCATCCTATGTCAATCACAACCCGAGAAGATAAACGGGGCGGAAGATAAACGCACAAGCCAACGTCCGCCCGTCCTCTTGCACTGCTCTCGCAACAGCGTTCGCAAAACTCGTCTTGCCCGTGCCAGCGCGGCCGGTGATGAGCATGCCCGGCACTATTCACCCTCGTTCGTCAGCGCCCTTTACCGCACTATAACAGCGGACGACTGGGGAAGGGCGCACCTCCGCGCATGCGTTTGCTCGTCGAAGCGCCTAATGCAAGACACGCCATGGCCGTCTCGAAGCAGTCACGCAGCTGCTCATCAACGCCGATCAACCCATGCTCCGACGCGATCCTCGCGAGTCCGTCGGGCGGTGGTGTCCGGACTGAGGGCGTGGGTGAAGTGATGCCGTTGGGTTTCACTATGCCGTTCAGGTGGGGCGAAGACGGTGCAGTGGACGGTGGTGGGAGGTCGGGGAGCGGTACACGGTCGCCTGTTGCAGTTGCGCTGCAGAACGAGGATGAGAAATGAATGACGAAGTGAATATACGAAGCATATACGCACTGAAGCAAATCCCACTCCTCCATCTCACCCTCCAGCGGCCCCAGAAACACAACATGACTCGGGATCACATCGTGCGTCGCAGCCACCCACACGCCCTCCTCCAATGCACCCCTGTCTTTCGCTTCCTTCCGTGTCGCCTTTCTCCCGCGTTCGCCCTCGGCCGTTGGCTTCAGGACTTTCTCGACTGGCTCGCTTTCCTTCTCCCCAGCCCCTGCAGCGTCCTTCCCTTTACCGTCTTTCGCCGAGTCAGCAGGCGGCTCAGGACCGATGAGGATTTTCCACGTAATCCGGATGCACTCGCGTGGGGGCGGATAGTCACACGCGAGTAAGTCGGCGAGGGTGTGCGGTGAGATGTATGCGTCTATCGGTGCTGAGGGGGTGGAGGGAATCGTCGGGTGAAGAGGTTGGGGTATTCGCGGGCCTGTAGAAGCAGATGCTTCTGGGGTCGTGGGTGAGCCAAGAGCGGGGATGAGACGCAAGGGTAGTATGCGAAGGATTTGAGGAGGGTGTTTCTTCGCTGTGTCTTCCTTCCCTTTGGACTTGTTCTCATCCCCTTTGCCATCTGGCTGAGACACGGCCTTGGGCTTAGGCTTCTTGGCGGCGTTACGGGAGAGAGGAGCGACAGAGACTTCGGTATCGGTACTCAGCAGAGCAGCAGGTGAACGGGAGGGTGGTGGCGGATCAATAGACTCTATGAAAGCATAGAAAGTCAGCGCATACAACCAGTAATACTACGTAGAACACGTACCGACTCTCAACCGCACCCTCGTCCGTCCCTGCACCCAAACATCCACCTCCTGCCCAACAGACGCGACGCGCACCTGAGACAATAACGCTGTCTCAAGGTGCGCTGCATGAATCTCGATGATCTCCCAGTCATCTACGCCAACAGGCACAGTGCCGACGCGCTTCGCAGGCGAGAGATCATGGATGAGGCCAACCTCGACGACATCGTCCTGCGCGAAGCCGAGGGCCACGGCGTACTGCGGGTCAAGCTCGATGGTCTCTAGACCGCGGTCGTCACCCGATGCAGCTGCTTGAGACTGGAAGTGCGCGAGGGATGAAGCGGAGGGCATGCCTGTCCATCCGACGTAGACGCCATTGGGGTTCTTGGACTGGGACTGGGACTGGGATTTGGAGGCGGGGGAAGGCGAGGGGGAGAGGTGTATGGCAAGAGATTGCGGACGCTAGCGGAGTTCTTGTTATGTAAAAGAAACGAATGAGAGAAGTAGGATTCAAGACGTACGACATTTCGCTCCAAGAGAGGACCGTAGATGGAGATGGGAAGGTTGACGAGCGAGGATTTGATCGGTGCATAATGCACTCGAGCGCGTCGTGGCATCTTTGAGGCTTGTCTGTCTTACAACTCAAGTATAAACCTACCACCGACGAGGGCTGAGAACAGAAAAAGTTAGGAAGCACTGGCTCTGGGTAAGTGAATGCTATTGTGGACGCGCTAGAGCCGTGCGGCGACAGCGGAGAACGCGTCCCCGGGCATGAGCACAACTATCACATGGCCAGTCTACCTTATACACGCTTGCTTCCGATCCACCACCACCAACACCTATACGGCCAAATACTCTTGGACTCTTGTAACTGTTTTACTAGGCGATCACGATACCGTACCGACCGATCTCGGACTGGGCAAAGTGACCGTAGGCTGCACAACCAACGACCGTCTATCTCCCCAAATCAGGCGGCCTAGCACGCACCGGTCTTTGTCTCGAAAGTTCAAAACAAGTCACTGCTGCTGTCTCCTCAGGACTTCTTTGGAAAGCGCATACAAATCTTGTGGTGCACCTCTTATTGTTAAAAAAGGATGGTCGCTCGAGCTAGTCTCGACCCTCAGACCTCGGACGGCATCGCAGAGGGCGAGTCTATCGTTGACAGAGCCTCACAGGTGGTGCCTCTAATCCCTCGACCAGCTGGGTTAACAATCGAGCTTATCCATGACAGAAAACGGTTGCACTACTTATTCTCAAGATTCGGTGAATATCATAATATATTGTTTGTCCATTGCATCAAGTTACCCATTAACATCGTCATTCTTCCCCTCGTCCCAGTTCACCGTCAGACCATAACACCTCAGTTCATGGCCGTGCAATTGTACGCAAGCCCGTTTTGCACTATAGAAAACAATCGTGGACCTCAGTCCTCTGCCCACAGCAAAGAAAAGGTAGCCACTCACGAGAACTATCACAGCACGCCTTCGTGTCTGGCGAGTTGCTACGCAGCGGCCCCAAGCATCAGTATCGCTCCAGAAATTGACTGAGAATACTCACCAAGTCAGAATGTAAGTAGCAGGCGGGTTCTCGGTCGGGATACAGCCGACGCCGATGGGGTAGACGATGTCCGAGCTCGGGACGCCCGCCTTCTGGATGGCCTGGGTGGCCTCAGGGGAAGGTCCGTCGTACATGGTCGCGCAGCACAGCGGAATACTGTCGCAGGCATAGGCCGTCGAGGTGACTAGGAGGGCGACGGCGAGGGTACGGACGAGAGAAGGCATCTGGGCGGGTATGGTGGGCTATAGTGAGGTAGCTGAGAGAGCTAGGTAGGGCGCTGCAGTGACAGCTGTGTTTGTTTTATATTGTTTCTGACTCTGTTGGATGAATAGGATTGATGGTGATGGTCGATCCATTCAGCGCGCTGATGCGCGTGGCTCCCTAGCACCGCAACAGTACTCGAAGTTGACATTATTACAGTCACTTTATTTCAGCTGTTGAGTAACGAAAGGATTATTGACTATGCGTTGGCGATGGTCCGACGTGATTCAGGCACGAGAAGGCATCAATGCTCCGAGATCAGAGTCGTTAGAGTGCCGGTGATATTCGGTCGCAGGTGCCAACCTTGCAACGAACAACGAACAACCGACTGTGCCACCAACTAGCTCAGGTAGGCGCTGAGTCGCGGTATGGGAGCTGATGCATTTTATTTATATCTTAGTTTACCTTCCAGGGACTGTAGTATGCAAATGCTCATATAAGCGCCCGTCATCATGCATCACCTTTTCATCTCGCTTAAGGTCTTCGTCCGCAAAACGACTATGTATTTCTCTCGTACTTGCTGATGGTTGCACTGTTAAGGAACGCTGTACGTCTGGGATTGCGCATTTACGTTCGAACGATTATCCAGACAATTCGCGTCATTGGGCATGGTATTCATCCTCTATTTTATACACGATGCTTAACTTTCATCCTCGTGTTCTTATCATTCAAGGATCTCTAAAACACTCCTTCTGGAATAGGAGCGCCTTATGAATGTTCAGAACTGGTGTTCGAGATAACCGCGTTATGCTGTGTGCTTTTCGGGGACTCATATGTCTTAAACAGGCGCTCATTTTCACGCCACTTCGTTGCATTTGGCATTTCCAATGGTGGAGCAGAATCTCCGAAATACCTCAATTCAAATTGCCATGTGCAAGCTCTTGATTAAACCTATTGTACGTTGTTTTCAATGATGGTCGTGTGGACGCCATTTCGCTCTGAGCGCTACGGGGTGAACCATAACCAAGCTCGGGAAGAGAATGCACGTTCTCTCTCCCTGGTATCAACAATTCTGTGGTGCTATCTTGGGCAGCATGCTTCATTTTACAACACTCTCTACACGCCTGTTTTGGAAAATGCGAGTTCAATCGTTGGCTCACGGTCCAAAGAGCAGCACGTCGGTGGAGCTTTGACCTTCATCAGCAGGCCCTTGGAAATATAACAGCCAAGCAAGATTTTTTCCTCCGGCTTCCGAGTTTCTTCGCTATCTCGGCTACCGCCTGTTAAGTAGCGGCGACTTGGACCAACAGCTATTCCGTAACTTTCATCCGTGCTATCAAGATACACGCGAGCGCTTGTTGGAGGTATAAAGGTTGAATTTATGCGCTATCGAGTATCAGCAGAGTCTCTTGCCACTCCTCTCTCACTGACCATGCAAGGCGCAAAGACTGATCATCCCTCCTCTTACAAATTAGCTTCAGCTGATATCGCGGTCAGTGCGAGGGGACTCATTTCCTCTTCGAAAACGCTGATTATATCCTTAGGTCATTCGTGAAGTCTATACAAAGATTTTCCGCGAATTTGACGTGCTCTATCCGTCATTGGCCACGCTGAATATGGACCCCGTTTTTCTGAAGGAATGCAACGATTATGCCGCCGAAAAAGGCTGCCCCAACGTCTCAGCATCGAAGATGGCGTCTTCCCTGGTAAATGGCGCCGTAATCGCACAGCAGGCATATGCACATATACAAGACAGCAAGGCCCTCGTATATATTGCGGTGCTGACATGTGTCGCGACGTACATCGACGATGTTAGCCAGGCGCAAGCTGACAGCGTCCGCACTTTCCCGGAAAAGTTTATCAAGGGCGAGGCACAGGCAGATGCCGAACTCGAGTTTACAGCGACGATACTCAGAGATGTAGGGAGCGTGTATCCGCCCGCGCAAGCTGCGATGTTCACGGCCTCTATGTTCGACTTCGTAATTGGCAGTGTGCTTGAAGACGAGTACAAAGCCATCGAGGTGTGTTATATTCGTCCATTTTCTTTCGACCCTTCTTGAAAATGGATACTACTTTAGCCACCCAAAGAGTCAAAGACGCACAGTCGTACCCGTACTTTCTGCGAAGCATGACCGGTGCACCATTGGCATACGCCATCCTGATATTCCCGCCTAATGTACCTGTCACGAGGTACATCCAAGCAATTCCAGACATGATGGTTATGATTAATGCCGCTAAATATGTTAATCAAGCCACTCATTAGTCTCCACGAATATCGATGCTGAGTGTCATGCAGTGACGTCCTGTCTTTCTACAAAGAGGAGCTTTCGAATGATACGTCAAATTACATATCCCGAAGAGCAGCTGCTCATGGAGTCAGCAAGATTTCGGCCTTTCGAGACATTTGTGATGAGACTATACATGCTAATAGTCAGGCTTTAAATGTTCTTGCCAGCGAAAAGCAAGCATACGAAGCTTATAAGAGCTTCAAGGAGGGTTACATGTATTTCCATGTAGCATCTGGACGATACAGGCTGCACGAACTCATGCCTTAAGGTACTATAATTCAGGAGATGCGCCGCGGTTCAATGTGCTCAGCAAAGATGAGTGCGTACAGTAGTCCCGTGAATACCGTGTAACCAAACGATGAGTTCGATACAATTTTCATTTGAGTTTTTGCATCAAAACTACCGTGAAATAACTGAGGAATCCTTATGCTTAGAATTCCTGTTCGTCGCAGCAATACGGTAATTCACTCAATAAACGACGAAGAATCCGCAAGAGCGGCCTTCTCCAGACATACGTTTGAATAACCACCAGAAGGGCCGTTTGTATTTTACGACCGAATGTACGCCGCAGACTCGAATACAAGCAATAGCGTCGTAAAACTTACTCCTCTCAGCTACATACGCCATGAAATGAACAAAATATAAACTCTCAATGTGTTCCCCGAGGTACTCTCTGTACTTTATAAGTGTACCCATATAGTTATTTCCCGGGAGTTGATTTGCCTCACTCGAAGCACTGGTTGAGACTTTCTCGCAAAAACACTGGTATGTGGTTTTCTGACGGTGCTGACTCGAAGTTCGGCCTTTGTTCGGCCCGTTTGAGCATCTACCTTGCAACAGCTTGCAACGAGCCGATCCCGTCGCTCGGATGAAGTATACACGCGGCCCGGTATCTATGGCCGGTAGCAACCTCGTGATCAAAGTTCCTGTGCACTCTACTAGGCTTGAGCTTAAGCGCTTGAGCCTGATACTGATCCACTAGAAACACGTATACCTTCGAGCTCTCCTTTAGGTGCAAGCATGCTCATGAACTCTACTATCTACTAAAGCATTGTATTGCGCTTAGCTGCATCACTCGATACCCCAATATCATACAGCCGAATGGGTACGTCCTGTTTCTGACCCTGTCCCAGTGTGCTACAAATAGAAACGTTCTCCCCACCCCCAGGCACCAGAAGCGGAAACAACTGGGAAAAGCTAGCTCGGAAATGTGCTCATGGTGCTACTTACGACTCCAACCAACGTCAGCCGCACTTCACATGCCCTCCAGGCACTAGAGATGATGTCCTTGAAACAATAAGGACCCGTATTGAAACTGGAGATCGAAAAATCGTGTGGATTATCGGCGAGCCCGGCGCGGGGAAATCGGCTCTAGCGCATACGCTTGCAGACGACTTCCGAGCTGAAGAAAGACTAGCTGGTACCTTTTTCTTCGATCAGAAACAACAAAAGCGAAACAATCTCGATCATGTGTTCCACACCTTGGCGTATCAGCTAGGACTTCAGCATCATCGTGTTCAGGAAATGATAACAAAAGCCATCTCAGATGACCCCGCACTGCTTTATTTGGAGAAATCACCTAAAGACCAACTAGAGAAGCTCATCATTCAACCTCTAAGGGCGGTTAGTCATGTATGGAGAGCAAGAAAGCCCTTGTCAATGGTCTTAGACGGCATCGATCACGGTGTTGAAGGTTATCCAAGTGATGGACTTCAACTTGCTATGTGTTTTATCTTGTCTCTTGATTACATCGTCCAGGATAACACATTGCCTATCGGTACTATCATTGTCACCAGTGACCTACGGTGGTACCACTCCATGAGTCAACTCTACGGTAGCCTTGAAGATATCGTACAACCCATCCCCATTGACTACTACGAGCCCCAAAACACTTTGACGAGGAGTTTCAGTAAGCATGAGTGGATCGCTCTTAGAAAGCTACGTGTACGTGTTTCTGACTTCGTCTCTGAAAACATTGACAATTTACATCAGCTCCGACTGCCTCAAATCCTTCGGGATGCATTTCCTCTGAGTCCGAAAACTCGCCAGAACCCGGTCAATCTTTGGGGAATAGTTGTTCACCCTTCTATTATGAGACGGGATGCGAGAATAAGCGTAGTGTTGATGAAGTTTCTGCGAGAAAAGTGAGCTCTTCTGAACTTTACTAGCAAGCGGACATCTGTGTCTCCCAAAATCTTTGACGTGTCGATTGACCTTTGTTCGACAGGAGATTGAACGTGGAAGAAGCAGCTGCGTTGCTAAGCGCCACTCTGGAGTGGCGTGAGCACGTCAATGTTGAGGCCGCCTCCAAAATATACTATCCTGATTTCAACGCTTGTTATGGCAAGGACCGGGAAGAACGTCCGGTAATGTGCGTTTTTATATTGGAAAAATAAGCAGGAGGTCCCGCTCAAATCGTCACATCTACGTAGAAACATCATCTCCACCTATTTCCCACAAGAGGATTGTTCGACGTAAGTCGCACGAAGTACATTGATTCGCACCGTTCTCAGGTCAGGAACAGCAAATGTATTGCCATAATGGAGCAAGAATCGCGTCTTCTCGACTTTGAGACGGTTGACCAAGTGATTCATATCCATGGTTAGCGCACCCCATCATGTTTCGATTTTCAAAAGTTCATGTGAAACGTGATGGTAAATAGGCATATCTACGCTGCGGGACAGGTCTCACAAAAACTGCAAGACACTCAAACATTATCCTGGACTGATCGTACGTTACAGAGAATCTGGAGAAATCATACTTGCGCGTGCTAATCATTGTGTCCGCTTGTCGCTCACAGTACCAAACGATATGTCTCGACAGCTCCTCGACTATTAATAGCGGGTATGAGATACTCAAGGGACCTGGAGGCATTTGTCCATGCGGCAGGGGCGATGCCTCTAGCTGGCTGGGGTCGATGATAGCCACATATACAGCCTGTTGCGCCTTGACGGAAACATTCCTAACGACCCGCCTTCCCCGAGGACACGCCGGGGGATATCAAGACCCGGATGCGGACGACCACGACCTTGACTACACCTTAGAAGAGATATTATCCGACTCTCCCGTGGTTCTTCGGGACACAGATAACCCTGCTACAAGACATCGGTCGACTAGTGCTGGCACCACGAACGTCTCGCTGAGTGGCGGTAGTGCCAGCGGTTCTCCGATGCAAATCTGTCGAAGCCTGCCACACTCTCGAAACCCAGCATTGATTGCCTCGACGACTGGTAGTCCAATGAGAATATCACCCACCAGCCCTGTTCTTGTTATGACCAGCGAGTACGGCGCCAACCGTGACGCACCACAAAATGAGGCAGCTATCGCTTCTAGCCTCCCCGTGAGCACTCCGTCCACATACCCTATAAATGCACAACGCGAATGGGACGACCTCACGTCACGCCGACTTTACTCTGACAACACACCTGCATGGCCTACTCCCCATGATACTTAGTATATGCCGCATTCCGGTGCAGCCTTCTCTTATTATTACTTCATGTGTATGTCAGCTGCAAATATACCTTAGTGCACCATGAACTCAACTCGGAGATCCGCCTTCATCTCGCTCCCGCAGTATGCCAGTCTACACTTGTGGTGTACACATCTCTATTAGCATCTATAACAGCATCACAGCTGTAAGTACGAGGTCATGAATCGTAGCACGGATCCTAGCAAATGCGAAAACATCCTCCACAACCTTGAAATAAAACAACGCACAACCCTATACAATCTCCATAACGCACTAATCTCCACCCGACCCCGACGCAACATAACTCTCAGATAGACACATGCCCCCTCGGCTCATACGGTATCAACATCGCCAAGAGGCCCGCAAAGACGATCAGCCCGCCCGCAATATAAACCGGAACAGAAGTCGTCAGGTTGGCATACAGCGCGATGATCGGCGCAATCACGCCAAACACCCGCGTCGCGGTCGACGTGAGACCATTGCCGGTGCCACGGTCCTTGGCGGGGAAGATCTCGGGCGAGATGGCGTACAGGACACCATACATAATCTATTTCATGCGTGTTAACACCAGAAAGGACGGAGGGGGGAGGAGACGCACATTGCTAAAGAACACGTATCCGCAGTTCCACCCGAGCAGCGCGTTCGACGTGCGCGCCGTCGTTGTCGCGAGGAGGAACGCGCCGGTGAGCCCTGGATCACGCGAGAGGTCGTTGAGTAAAATGCTGACAATTTCGCGAAACCCTAATGATAACGACAACAACGAAACTGAAGAAACGAAGGAAGGCAACGGGTAACGCCGACGCGCACGCCAATAGTACTTCAACGTTTGTCATGCAAATGGTCAACTACTATTGGCGTGCACGTCGACGGGCAGGGACGGTGAGGGCGAAGAAAGGGGAGAAAGAAAAGGGGAGAAGAAAAGACACTCGCCCGCTGAGATCGCTAGTGTTCCTTTTCGGCCGACGCGGGGAAGCTCGACGGACCATCCGGCAAGGAAGGCGCCCGGGACGCCAATGACGCTGAGGATGAGTTGCTGTGGAAGATAACGGTTGAGAGGTGAGCGAAGGTAAAGAAGGGTGGACGTACATTGCGGTAGGTAATGTACAGAGAGCCATCGCCGAGTGCGGCTCCGCGCGTCTGAAGCCTACAACTCGAGGTGAGTAAGGGCTAGATGGATGATAGGAAGAACAAGCGCACAGATAAGGAAGGAAGTTGTTGTACAGCGTCGAAGCAAGACCGATGATGCCTGTTATTTCATCAGATACACGATAACAAAATCGAACAATACACGTGCTTACCCCAAAGCACGATAAGCAGCGTAGTGCTATACGCCATCTTGGGCGTTGCAAACAACGCCCTGATGTGCGACGTATTCCACTTCGACCCCGAGCTCAGCACACCGCGCCGCCTCGCTTCAATCACCTCCACGACGGGCATCTCCGATTCGCCTGCCTCTGTCGGTGTACTCGCACCCGATCCAGCAGCGGCCTTCACAGCGCCAACAGCCTGTAGCTCCTGCACATCGAGGGTACATTCCGTCCCGTTGAACGCAGCCAGCTGGCGGATAACCTCAACTGCCTCTGCGTCGCGCCCGATGCCAACGAGGAAGCGAGGGGATTCGAGAAGCGTGAAGACGAAGAAGCGGAGTGCCCAGAAAACGAGCGTGAGGCCGCCGAGGATGAAGAGGAGGTAGCGCCAGCCCATGTTGGACTCGCGCGGACATGCCGGGTTTTCGGGGGTGGGACTGCAGGAGAAGTTGGTTATCAGTGGCCATGCAATCTAAGAGGAACGTCGTCAGAGTTACAGTCACTGAGTATATGCGGCACGAAAATGAACTTACCAAGCTCGACAACAGCTGGCCCAAGGTGAACCAGACAGAGAGGATGGTGAGCAGGTACTGATGAGACCCGGGGACGAAATCGAGGAAGACTGCGGAATCCACGGGCATGTTGCCTATGAGGCGCAAACAGCAAATGCATCAAACAATGTGCACAAACAAGACCCGAAAAGAGCCGGGAAGCAGTGAGAAACACACCTCCAACACCAAGTCCAACGCACGCGATTAACGCCGCAAGGGTGATGAAGTTCGGGGATCCGCCGGAAGCGAGACCAAAGACGCCCGCAATGAAAAGGGTGATGTTGAAGGACCAGCGGCGGCCCCAGATATCGCATCCTAGACCCCAGAAGACAGCACCACCCAAAAGACCGATGTTGGAAGCGAGAGAGAGAAAGGGACTCGTAAACTTGAATTCGTTGACGACAGGTGTGAGGATTAGGCCGCTGAGGAGTGGCCAGACGCTGTCGCTGTAAAGGGCGTCAGAGATGGCGTGACTTGGGGAACGAGTGTGTCCTGCACTTACGCAAACCAGCCGAAACCAGCGACAACGAAGAGATACCACTACAACAAACCGTTAGAGGGCTATCGGGTGGGTGTATGCGGGGCGACTCACCTGATACCTGCCCATTCCGATCTCCTGAATGGCCCGATTGAGTATCTTTGCCTTTTCATGGTAGACCGGATCGTGGTACTCGTCTCCATAGAGGTCTGCCATGGGACCAGGTGTCTCATCGATGACTTCGGGGAGGGAGGTGGTCATGGCTGAGGGAGAAGAGGAGGGCTTTTCTGATTCCATGGCGCTCGAACCGCTGCTAAGGGGATTGGATCGGCTCCTTGCGTCTATTCTGTTTATCTTGGAGCGCGTGAGATCACAGCGGCGGGCGAAGGGAGGGAAAGCGAGAAGGATGCGAGATGACCGAGGAAAGCTGGGAACCGCCGGGCCTTTTGAGCAAAATTGCCTTGTCGGCTTCCCCTTGCTCCCCTGGCGAACAAGCTCACGTCCATATGGTACATATGATTTGGCAAGATTTGGCATCGGATTTCCGCATGCGCTTGGAAAGCTCGCCCCGACGCTCCCCGACGTCAGACTTTGGCCGGACTTGGGAGCACCTTTCTCATGCTGACGTGGTTCCCCTCGCCGCTGACACACTGCTCCGGCCGTCGAGTCATCCTGCGGTCTTGCAAAAGATTCACCCTTCCAAATCCTTCTTCAGCCTTCCGCCAGCAGCAGCCACACCCGATATCATAAGGTCTGCTTATCGCGAGCAGGCGCCCAAGTTTGACAGCTACTAGGTCCTTGGGTTTGGGCAACAAGCACTTGCATACCACTTCAGACCGCTGGACTGAATTGCAATGGCTCGCTCTTCCTTTCTCTGTCCCTGGCAACTGGCTATGGGCAGCCCGAAACAGATCTCCCTCTAGCGTCGTGGAGTAGACTGCCGGACCTACTCTCGCTCACTGTCATTTCCTACTTGCTTGCTCTCGTCGATCTGCCTCTTTAACTTCAATCCCCGAGGTTCTTCGACATGACAGTGACTACAAAGGGTCGACTCGCATCATCGACACTCGAAAATTCTCCATACAACGGTACGTCATATGGCTCCTCCCTCATTCCTTGGACGATGCATCACGCCTACGACCAACTATTGATGGCACCACTACCGCGCGCACAGGCCCAAAAGATCGCGACAAACTTTCTCTACAGCTTCTCAGCCAGTCCCGCGCAGCGATCAAGCGGAGAAGGGTGAGAAAAGCGCATTGCCAGCGCAAGGCCCAGCAAGCTGAAACTCACAAGGACGATCTCGAGGCCCTCGAAGTCCACCAAATGCTCCTAGATTTCTCAGATGATGTCACCGACGGGGATGCGGAACCTACGATGTTGTACCCGGTGAGGAGCGCCGACGCTCGATTTCTCCCTGAGCCCGTCCGAGAGCTTCAGCGAGCACACAATGACGAGGTACGTGAGCTATTCACTTCACGAGCGCCGTTGTGTCTCCTTATACCGTACGTTAATCTTCAAGGTGGCACCTCAGCATCAGCATCTACGGACTGCGGTATTCTCCCATCCTCGCTTCGGACCTGGTTCCACGTCTGTCATTAACCGCGATGACCGCATTTACATGGTCCGTCTCGGCGACCACGTCGTCTTCCCTCTTGGCTATTCTTAGGGCTCTATCAGTTTTGAAATGGTGCTCTACGTGTACAACGCTAAACCTCTCGAGCTCATAACCGATTACTGCATATCTTACGTCGTCTGTACCCGTATACTCGGCCTGATGCAACCTCCGTGTATCCTCATTATCTTATATCAAACCTTTTGGCCCAATACTTCTCCACTGGCACATCCCTAAGTCGTACCGTACGGCAGCGTTTCGCACCCGAATGCGACCCCATTCACCTCTGAGTTCCCTGGTCGGCACTATGGTAACGTCATCACATTTTCAGTGCTCACCTTTAGTCTGGCAGCACTCGAGCACATCCGGCGCATCGCTAGATGATAGTCCTCTCATCAGCGCCGGCACTCCATCTTCGAGGCGAGATCAGGAAAACTCGCCACTCTAGGATGTACAGAGCGGGAGGGTCCTCGATAGGGATGCAACCCGTCGCGAAGGGGAACACGAACTCCGCGCTCGGCGGCGAGATGCCATCACTGCTGAGTGTGCTGTTGGCGCTGCTCGTCGGAGTGTCGTACACGGCTTTGCAGCACAGGGGAATACTAGGGCAGCTCTGGGCTGATACCGCCCCTGCGAGGGTGATGGCGAGGGTGAGTTTGATTATGAACATTGTTGGCTAGCAGCTGAAGAGCCGAGAAGGGGTTTCAGATGCTGGACAGCGATATGAACTGTTTAAGTACGCAAGGTGGTGAACGACACCGCCCTTGCACACGAATGAAGTGTGCCTGTGGCTTGACTATGCAACATGAAGAATGCAAGTGATGCACAGGTGTATATCGCAGGACATTGTACGGCAACATATGTATCGCCGGGTCCCTAGTGTTGGTGGACTTTTGGGCGCGCTAGTCCAGGTACAACTACGTAAGCCCGGCTCAATTGTCGTACTTTGACCTGCATCACGCATCGGCCTTTAAGAGATTCGGACAATTACATTTGACACAGGCGGCGGGTAGGGCGGAACTGTAAACCTTGGTAGTATGTTTTCACGTAGAGTCAGCCAAGCAGGCCGTATACCCGTTCGCAGCCTCGGGTGGGCAAACCCAGGGTCAAGATGCTAGCCGGATCCGAGTCTCTGGACGATCGAAGCAGCTGTTAGCAAGGCTTTAATTAACGAAAGGGATCTTATGTTGATCATTAGATGACGTGCCATCATTGCAAGTTCTCCACGCATGACCATACCCGCGGCTAAGTCTACCGAGACGTCATTCTGCATCATTCACGTTCTAAGCCGTTTTCTAGTCCTCGAGTGAACTGTATTCGGATCAGAAAAGGGTCCTCATCGGCCCCAAGTAGACAGCTCGAGTCCGGGGCATCGCAGATGCGTTCTCACACAAACGCAAGAGTTGTCATGCGCAACATGGTCTAGTATGGCAAGCTAGGAATACACGTTCAGCACGCATGATTTGATAGGCCGGGTCAAAGATAATCCCTGGCAGGTGAAGACGAATGTTGCAAGAGCGGGTGAGGACTCTGAGTGTATTTGCTGACCATAATCAGCTTATAGGTTGACAAGGGGACTTCAGGAGGACCGAAGCCCTTCACCGCAAAAATGCTCTGGATATGTGTTGAAGTTGTGACAAGTATCTTGGCGTCGAATCTGGACAGTTGGTGTGAATGTCTCGGTGGTATTGTCTTCTCCGTGGCCAATTCCGCTCTCTGACCGGGCGCTTCATTAACAACAAGAAAGTTCGCGTCCCACAATGCGAGAAGAAGCTTGATCTTTTGATGTGGAATGAATGGACCGACAGACCTGAAACATTGGCGGGCGACCCTTTGCGTGCCCTACAAAACCCCGCATGAGTTTGCTAAGCGACGAAGAAACGCCCCCTTTACCATGTCGTGGCTCAAGTTGGGTTTGCACCTCACATCCTACTATGCATTCAGGGTTTCGCTGTCCAACCCAGCACCCAATGCCCCGAAATCGGACGTCGACGCGATCGAGAAGCCGACGTTAGATGTAACACTGAATAGCCTATGTCCACCAACTCTGAAAGTGCGTTTAACAGTTTGCAAGGCGTCTTATCAATACCTGACTGACCTGTTTGTGTTCTTCTAACAGAACCTACTCGCCATCCCCGCGCTGGCGGAGGTCGCAATTGTGCTCGCACTCCACTACCCCTCTGCCGAGTCGACGCGCGTTCTCGAGTTCCTCGGCTACAGCCCCACCTCCCTCTGGTCGGAGCCCCCGCGCCTAGCCCTCGCGGGGGCCGCCCTCGCCGTGCTCGGCGGACTCGCCCGCAAATGGTGCTACCGCACGCTCGGGAAGCACTTCACCTTCCAGCTCGCGCTCCGGCCGGACCACAAGCTCGTCACCGACGGGCCGTACGCGATCGTGCGTCACCCGGGGTACACCGCGTTCTTCGCGAGCTGCACGGGCATGCTCATGCTACACGCTACGCCGGGCTCGTGGGTCCGCGGTGCGCAGGCGCTCGAGCCGCTGCGTCTTGGTTTAGCGGTTGTGTGGCCGTCGTTGATGCTGATGGCGTGGTCGATGCTGGCCAGGCGGCTCTCTGCCGAGGATCAGTTCTTGAGGAAGCACTTTGGAAAGGTCTGGGATGATTATGCGGCGAGGGTAAGGTATTGGCTTGTCCCTGGGTTGATATAAGGTTGTCGGTCGAGATATACCATGTTGTCTGTATGTTATTTATTTCATCATTGTACCTGCCAAAACTCCAAGATACAGCTGGATACTGTGTCCCAGAAGCCAAGCTCCTGGACTACTGTAGTGAAAATCGTTGAACACTCTTGTGATCAGCAAGAGCACTCCAAGAAGCTGGGGAGCTGATTGCCAGGAGAACCTGGATTGATTTGAGGTGTGCATGACAAGTCTTGCGCAGTTACCAGTAGCCACACCCTACGGCGTTTTCTTTGATTTCGCCGAACGCAGCGGAGACAAGCAGCAGTGGCTGATGCGAAACTACCACTCACTTTCACTTGGGGCAAATGCCGTCATTACCTCCGAGAATATCATTTCAGAAATCTATCGAAAAGCAAAAGTTCGCTAATCAATTTTCACGGAGAAGGAAAATTCATCAGAGAATTCACCGGAGAAGGAAAAATAGAATTGATGGCTCAGCCATTTGGCGGGGGCTCGGAGGCACTTAATCCGTATCAGGCAATCTGATAGGATAACTTTTGCAATGGATTTTCCTCGGGAAAAAACCAGTTGGCAGATTTTTGCACCTTGATGGATTCTTGATCGATATTCTGGCAGGTAATATCGGCGTTTGCCCGTAGTGTTTTTGACCCACACAGATCTCCGACGTGTTAACGCGATGATGGTGACAAAGAAAAGGCTGTGTTGTTTGCTCCCGCGTCAATATTCGCGGGACGCGTCCTCGGGTGATGCACGTGACGTGGCCCGACGACGGAAGCCGCGAGCGCGCCATTGGACCTTGTGCCCTTTTCCTCTTGCCCAATCTTCGTCAGTGGTGATAATGTTGCTTTCAAAGCCCACCGACCCCAGCTACGCGTATATAAGGGCAGCATTCTTGTACCCATGCTCGCCATCATAGCCCTCATTCGACTCGCTCGGTCTCACTGTCTTCAGCCCTACATCTTCCCGTACCTTCGAGTCTCCAAATCATGTCTCTCTGCGATAAGTGCGTTTCAGGGGTTCGTCATGCAGGCCATCCAGAGGGTGCGGAGCTATAGAGCTACTCATGCTAGCACGCTCAGTACTGACCGGCGACATTGCATCCAGGCAAGATCGATACTATTGCCGATGTCGAGTGCTACATCTCTACCCCCACCGGCGAGTACCTGAAGAACAAGGTTCTTCTGTTCCTTCCAGACATCTTCGGCATTCCCTTGAACAACAGCAAGGTGTGCATACATACTCTCATCCATTAACTCTCCCGTCGCTCATTGTTCGTTTGGCGAGGATAGCTCCTGGCCGACGACTTCGCGCGCAACGGTTTCAAGGCATGCACGCGAAATTAGCACTACCTCGCAATAACGCACTAATCGATTGTACTTCTTCTCAGACCATCATACCCGACTATTTGAACGGAGAAGCCGTGCCCGCTGATGAAATGGCGGTGAGTCTTGGCTTGTTACATTTAGCGCCGAAGGACTTGCAACTAACAGTCACACGCAGAAAGGCACATTCCCCATCCAAGAATGGCTCCCCCGTCATGGCCCTGCTCAAACACGTCCCACTCTTGACAAGGTGATATTCGGGCTCAAAGAGCAGGGCGTGGATAGCCTCGCCGCTATCGGCTTCTGCTTTGGTGGTCAGTTCGTTTTGTGCAGAAACTGAGCAGCGTACTGAATGAAACTTACTGTTAGGACGCTATGCATTTGACCTTGCCTTCGAGAATATCACCAAGGTCACCGTCGTCAACCACCCCTCCCTACTTAAGAACCCAGAGGACCTTGAGGTACATCTCCATCTCTGTCCGATGTTCGCCCGGAAGCTTGAAGGATTAACGCCACTTGCAGAGATACGCAGCCGAGTCTAAGGCGCCTCTCCTTATCAACTCTTGCGAGGTCGATCAGATGTTCCCACCCGAGTTCCAGGCCAAGGCAGACGAAGTGCTCAAGGGCAAGTTCGTTCCTGGTTACAAGCGCGAGTTCTGGGCAGGTTGCGAACATGGTTTCTCCAATCGCGGAGACGTCAACAAGCCCGAGGTGAAAATTGGAAAGGAAGGCGCGTTCAAGGCTGCCGTTGAGTGGCTCAGAGAGAACTTCTAGGATATACAATTGGTTACTTCTCAAGTCATCGAAGTGTATTTCTTACATTATCTACATCATATTGTAACTGGTTTTGAACAGATCTCTCTTACCAACAGATTTGCGCGACCTCTGCGCAAGTGAGCTAAAACTCCGATTACATCGGAACACTGCCTCATTCAGCGGGTTAAACGAACCACCAGCATCAGAGAAGCTACATGCGACTCAGATAGTCTCATCGTCATCGAGCGTTCAGCACGTTCAGCTGCCAAGGTTTGGTGAGGTTACTTTCCATGATCTGTACGATCGCTGCTAGATGATGTTAAATTTCTCCCATGTTTTAGACTGTTCTCTTATGCCTATCCCCGAAGTCGAACAAGAGTTCCATCGATACATCAACAACGAGATCCCCACCCGATTCCTGCGTCTGAACTCCGCTGGAGAACCAGAGCTGATAGGGCGAGCTGCAGTTAAAGCTTACTTCCGAGATGCAGTTGTAAGGATCACAGAGGCCGACATCGGCGCACCTATTCCAGAGAGCAGCTTGCGGCGCCGCAAAATTGCCGCACTTGTTAGCCAGATCGTCAAGTACGCTACACTCTCTCATCGATGGTCCGACGAAGAGCTCTTGTTCCAGGACTTCCAGAATGATATCTTCGTGATACACAACACCCCATCCTCAGCTCGCATGCGACGGGCCCTACACATCAATGCGACGTTCCGAGTATCTGATCCCGAGATCAAGTCCTGCCTCGGTTGGAAGAAACTGCTGAACTTCTGCACCACTGCCCGCCAGTATTATGGCGTCTCGTTCTGCTGGGCAGATACCTGTTGCATTGACAAGACGAGTAGCGCCGAACTGGATGAGAGCATCCGCTCAATGTTCAGGTGGTACCGCAACTCGGCAGTTTGCATCGTGCACTTGGCTGCCACATCGACTTTCACAGACATAGATGCCGACGAGTGGTTCACGAGGGGTTGGACTCTGCAGGAGCTTCTGGCCCCCAGTATAATCCGCTTCTTTGACGCAGGTTGGCGGCCGCTATCGCTCTCTTTCAACGATAAAGAGCCGGGATCAACTATCCTTCCGCGCATATCCCTCATAACAGGAATTCCGAGCGACCAGGTCCACGGTTTTCACCCGTCTTCCAGGATGCGTGTTGACAACCGTATGGCTTGGGCTGCGGGAAGGGCTGTCACTCGCGATGAAGACGCGGCGTACTCGTTGATGGGCATCTTCGACGTATCCATCCCCATCGCGTATGGTGAAGGCCAAAGTCGTGCTTTCTGTCGCCTCGTCGAATCTATCATCAGCGCGGGTGGACATATATCCGCCCTTAATTGGAGTGGTAGATGCGCTCGTCACCCAGTATCCTCTGCGATACCCGCGTCGCCTAAAAGCTACTGCGATCAAGTGGCGCTGCCATACCTTTATAACCGCTTCATCTTTGATGTGGAGATGGCCATGACCAATAGAGGGCTACGTCTCCCGGCCATGGTCATACCTGTCAAGGTACTAAACGGGCTGGCAGGTACACAAGCATCGAAAAATATCACACTTGAATTATCCCATCCGAACGTCCAAGCTACTCCGTCGAGCTCTTATTTTACTCCGAAACACATCACTGTTACTCTTGACGATGAGACATGGGTTCCTGTTCTCGGAACCACATTCCCTCTCGCACTCTGTGTAATGCAATATCACAAGCCAGCTGGGTCATTTCAAGTGAGAATGGTATCCCCCATGACCGGCTACCTTGTCCATATTGTCGATGCGGCGGGTATGAAGTTGGAAAGAATCCCGACGCGCTTCATCCAAGCTCCGTTCGGGAAAGAAGGGCAGCTTGGTGATCCTATTAGCGCGAGTTTGTTGCAAACAGTGTACATCTGATAAATTGCGCTATATAATACCTGGTATCATCCTGTATGAAACCGTCCTCGCGTACTCCTCCCATTCCTTCCCAAAGTGCTTATGCAAAAACTCATCCTCCACAGGCAACCGAGTGATCATCAACGCCATCCCCATAACATTGAGGAGTACGTGAACACCCGTTATCCCCAAGCGCAGCCCAAACAGCCCTCCGGCCTCTCGGAGCCACGAGCCTGGCACGGCGTGCATGAGCATGAATCCAGCGCACTGTAGAAATGCGAATGCATAGCTTGGGTGACGGACCCATGCATATGGGCCCGAGGTGACGAGGGTGTGGTCCTTTACAAGCCCCATGTTGAATGTGAATTGTCTCCCGAGGGTACGGAAGCACCACACGCGACCCATGCTACCTATCACTGTCAGGAAACCGACGACGACAAACATTCTAGAGGCGAAGGTGGAAATTGCGGGTTTGGACCCTATGAAGGACAGAACTTGAGAGGATGCCTTGGAGGGATAATGAAAGGAGACCGCGATGGCTGTCTCTGCTAGAACGGGTAGCCAGATCAACGCCTAAGTCATCTAGGTCAGTCTGAGATCGCCATGCGTATACATAATAGAGGGTGCTTACTCTTGCCATAGGGAACCCGAACTTGAGGATAACCCAATCCAGTATGGGTTTCTCAAAGTCATTTGAGAGGTCTTTGGCCGGGGTAGTGCTAGGATCCGTGATCGAAATATGGTACGAGGTGACTGCCGTGAGCTGCAAACCTACTTTCAGCCAAGACATGGTCCCGTGGAAATTTGATCACCTTCGCCACAGCAATGGGATAAGTATATTTATACGAGGGCGTGTCAATTTAATGGCGCCGGGTGCTGCTGTATAGCACTGAGTCAGGCACTGACATGAGTGCGCACTGAGACCGCATCGGCAATGACAGCATGGAACGTTCCAAGGTCCACACTACCGGCACTGACAGTATCAATGTCAACTCAACATAATCGCAGACGGGAGTACTTGTAAACCGAAGACGGGTATTCAATATAAAATAAGTCCAAGAAACGGCTTCATTCAACAACGAACAAAACGTACAGTAAGTAGTGTCATAGAGAACTTCACATCCCCATACAAATCCGTACGCCTTGCTGCTTCGCAGCGTCAAGGCGCGATTGTAGCTCCGCAAGCTTCTCCTCCCGTATATCGGGTCCATGATTGATACTTGAGAGCTGCAGCCAGAATTGCTTCAATGCGAATCCACCCCCAGACAACGCGAGTCGCGAAAGCACGGCATCCACGAGGTCATCGCTTGCCACCGGTCCACACCGGAGCGCGAGGCTTTCCAACTTTGGACAGACCAGAGTTCTTCCCGCACCTGTTTCAGCCTTTACCTCGGCATCTTCCTTGGCTCCCAGAGCCGCCGCGTCGCACGACTCGGACGAAATACTACTCTCCGCATCTTCCGTTTTCCCAGCCAGAGCACGGATGACGGCGCCGACTCCCCTCACAACGCCGGCGAGAAGTTTGAGCTCTCTGATCTCGGGCAACGCCGCGAGGAGCACAACGAGGTCGGCCTCGGGCACATCCAACCGGTCGAGTGTGATAAATGAGAGCGTCCGGGCGTTGCGGGCGAGATAAGCCAGCGCCCGAGACTCGGGATGGGATGAGAGGATGAGCGGGGCAGGCTCAGCGTCTGCGCCTGTGAATCTGGAGCTGACTTCGGCGTTGGCGTCGTCGACTTGAGCAGCGGTGGCGGATGAGGTGACATAGTAAGGCCCCGGAGACATGCTAACGTCCTGGATGGCGAACGAACGGAGAGCGGGCATGCGCAAACATCCAAGTAACGCAGCCAGGTATGGCGTATGGGCATATAGGCGGACCTCAAGGGTCGAGAGGTGATGGAGGGTGATTCGCATAGATCGTGTGGCGTTGTCGCCATCTTCATCGTCATCCGAGAACTCGAAGGTGTCTCTTTCATCCGCCACTCCTTTGACGCTGCCTATACCAACTCTGAGCTCCTCGAGGTTTTTGCAGAGTCTAAGTACGGCCCTCAGCTCGCCATGAGCCGGTGCCCAGAAGGGACTCGCAGAGTAGCCGAGCGACAGTCGCGTGAGCGAAGTCCACGGGAGTGAGCATTGAGCAGCGTCAAGCTCTGACCACGTGAGATCTACCTCCCGAAGCTTGGGTGCAGCCCTAGCTAACATATCGCTCCGTCTCCTCATCTCCGCGAATCCTTGTAGGGGTCCACTATCGGGTTCATCGTCGAAGACATCAGGCGCAGCGAGCATGAGCGGCGGAACTACCTCCTGCGTTGGCATGACGCAGCTATCACGTACTTCGACCCGTCGCATTTCCCCGAGCATGCAGTTCGTCCAACTGCTGAGCGCAGCCATAACGGCAGGTGGAAGATGCATGCGGAGCTCGACGAGTCGAGGAGCGATAGATGCGAGTGTTCCGTCAAGGTGAGCTAGGATAGCAGGTGACAAGCTTGCAGTTGAAGGTGGAGGACCGGCGCATGGCCCCGAAGGCTCCGGAGTAGTGATCGTGAGGTGCATTGGGAGTGGTGACGCTCGCATAGTATACATGCTGAGAAGATGCATTATAGTGGATAATCCCGAGACGGGAGACGGAGGGCGATGAATTGGACCAACATTATTGTATGGTGGCGGAACGGGAGATGATGATGGCGAAGAACTACTAGAGGGAATGGCGAGGTCGAGGCGGAGGTGGATCCACAGGCGTGGTGACGATAGTGCGAGGTCGCGCCACGAAGCGCAAACTCGCGTTAGGAGCAACGGCGCACGCGATGGGTGAGGTGCCGGATCGAGAGGCTCATCATCTGCAATGTCTTGCTTTGCACCTCTGATGCGTGCATTGGCTCGCTTGGCGTTGATCCTGAATGCATCGTTTCCCTCGGCTTCGATTGCCACACTTTGTTCAAAGATGCGAACAAGAAGTTCCGGGGGCAGGCGTCGCATGGGTGCACTAACGGCCTCCAGCATCCGCACTAACTCGAGCGTCTGAGCTTCTTCGGCTTCCAGGGAGGCAAGCTTGGCCCTTGCTGCAGCCAACTGGGGAGCAAGGGATGCGAGGCGGGCATGTTCTTCAGTAAGGAGTTTGGATATGGCTGGGAGAGAAGAAGGCCAAGGGGCTAGATTCGCTTGAACGAGAGATTTAAGGTGTGCCTACACGAAGTCAGCGTTAGGAAACACTCTCAGGCGCATTATCACGGATAAGTTCTCGAAGCAGTCCAGCACTGGGCGATACGTGCTGTAGCAAAGCCACCGGGCGCCATGGGTAGCGCCGGAATGTGTCTGGGAAAAGAAGCCAGTACAGAAGTAAAACCTCACCGGAAAGTTGGCCCCTGCGAACGCGTTCTCCATGGTGGTAGGTAACTCGGGTGCTGCGTCTGTCAACGGTGGTTAACGATGAGGTCGAGGCTGAGAGCAAGGGAGCTGACAGAACCTGAATAGGGAAGGGGAGAGGGCGGGCCTCAGTGTAAAAATGGTGCCCCGATGCACGGGAGCCCCGCTTATGAGGACCACGAGCGCAGCTGCGTTTGAACCTTGTCGCCTACACACTTCCGTTCAGTTGCCCGTCCTGGCAGGACACGAGACGCGGCGCGTCAGTACTCAATATTCAGCCCCCCACTTCCGGCGCTCCGCTCGACCAGTCACCACGGGACCCTGAAGCCCATCTTGGCATCCTCCTTCGCCGCCGATCGTTAATGGATGTAGCCCGCCACGCCTGGCACACGGTGAAAGCAATAGGCCAGTGACATCTGCGGCCCTGGTTTGAAAGATAAGGTAGGATCCGGGAAAGGGAGATACGAGCGCGATCTATCTACCAGGCGTACGTCAGAAACGCGTTCCATACTAGCGTACGTTGGTGCATCAAACCATACACACCTATGAAACACGTTAAATTAACAGATGGTCCCCCGTAATTAAGTTGCTGTGTACCCACGAAGGCGCATATACGGGGTGCTTGTGGTGTTCGAGAGCACTAGCCTGGGGGTAGACCCGAACGATGGAGCAAGATCGTGACGTCAAGAATTCATGTAATTTGGCCAGCTCGGGAAGTGAAAGATCCCCCATTGTAAGGATGTAAGTGTAGGGTGAGTCCGTATGGCCTCGAGCGGGATGGTGGGATAGATTCGCGGTGGTTGTGATGTTGCCGGTCGAACTTTGAGCGGTCCCGCGGCTTCTGCGTGTAAAGATACGGAGGAGTAAAGCGAAAAGGAAAATGTTTTGCTGCCAAGTTCCCCGAGGCTGATTTACGCACTGACTCCGCTCGGTGATTGCCGGTGGCGACCTCTTTGCAAGGTCTCATTAAGATCTCATTGGCCTGGACCTGCTTCACTTCTCGCTTTAGTCCGCCATTCTATATTTCTTTCGTCAGGCTGACGGAAAGGTAGGTAAGTTTACGTGGACTAGGTAATCGTGCTGATGGCTCCACTACTAGCGTAGGGATCTGCGAGCCTCACTATCATTGCGCCATGCGCCAATCAGAACAAATAAAGACGATCAGAGAGACATAGAGAGTCCCAATCCCAATCCCATCCCCCAACCATGTCTTCAAGATACAATTGCAATGAAGTGCGTCAGTACTGATGCATCTGAGGTCTAGATTTACGCCACCCACGAAGGTTCAGCCCATGTTCAAAGTACGGAAAAGGACGTCTCGTTTGGTACCTTGAGCACGTTTTGAAAATAGCTTTTGGTGATGGACCCTCGAATAGGTCGATAATGTCGACCACGTCCCTTGAAGTCAACCTTACTTTCAATGCTTGCTGTATAATGTGGCTCAACGTTCGTTCGATGCCCGCACTGAAACACGTTGTACACGTGCTGCACATAGACGTATGTGTAGTCTCCATCCAGCACTCTCAAAGACTATTAGTTGAGGAAGCCACTCACTCTATTCCTCGTTCGGTGGTATCGTACGGCTTACTCCTGAGCCTGAACCAGTGTCAGTGTGTAGATTTCTTGTAGCGTATTCAACAAAGCGAACACATACCACGGAGGTTAATAGAGTATTCATGTAATGAGTTTCTGCGGAGCAGTGCAAGATGGAGTACACGAGGCGCATGATTATGAATACCAAGTTAGAAAGAGGTAACGCAGGCTAAAGCGTCGCTCCGGGCGCATAAACCGGTGTGGATTGGTCCCCTTGCCCTCGGAGCGCCCGTTCAAGGTCAAGGTCAAGGTCGATAGCACACATCCTGTTCCGTGGTAGTGCTTGTGCATTGAGGGAGACGTAAGCTCAGCTTTAGTACGTCGAGCATGCAGAAGCAGCGCGGAGAGTGACATATATGTCCGCATGAAGGGACCTGCCCCCGTCAAGCATATTGGAATGCCCTAGACTTCATTTGCCGCATAGAGTCAGAGCCACTATACCAAAGGTCAAAATAGCAGCCCAAACCTAGCCTCTCTGACGAAACATGGATAGAGACCCGTCGCGAGCTCTGCGATGGCTATGGCTCGTGGCAAGCGCACCATTCACGCTCGCCCTTGCCTGCCTGAGCATCGTCGCCAAACAAACTCAAATAACGGCCCGTCGGCTAATCCAGAGGGGTGACTCGGGTGCAGTTGAGATTCAGAGAGCGTACGCGTCGCGTCCATCCACTCCTGAGCACGTCTGCTCATCATCCCATCTCATCCACAGAGACATCCAACCATTATCGAAAACGCAGTCAGAAGCCACGAGTCTATCTCATCACACGACGCAGAAAACACCTAACATGTCGACCCCCACCTCAATGCCTACAGACCAAGAGGCTCCGCCAAAGTTGGACCTTGATGCCTTCATCACCCAAGCCCTCGGTGGAACACCAGCACCATTGCACTCCTACTTCGAGTCATTCAGAACGCTTTACAACAAGAGGTGCGCTTTTCGTTCGTCTCGAATTGGCGGGTCTGATCTTCCATGTGACGCAATCCCTCATACATAACCATACCTCCTTGGTCAACGACGCATGTAACCTTCAAACCATGGATCAGATTGTGGCATCAGCTCACCCTCAAGCTCTTTGACTTCATCAACGAGCCGGCGAGTGCACCATACCAGGTTGAAGTGTTCACTCGCTTCGTACGCGACTTCGAGTCTCGCATAAACTCATTGCGTCTGGTCGAGCTCGCGGCGAAAGTTGCCCGCCAGATCGACAGTAAATCCCTGTTTCCTCCGTCCGTATCATCCTCTAACACATATACGCATATACAGACCCTCAATCCCATCTCCTGCTCCTCTCTTCCCTCCTCACCCGCATACGCGAGGCTGAAAACCCTTCGAAGGAAGCTGAAGCGCACCTCCTAACAACGATCGCTTACTCAAAACTGGTCTTTGGTGATCTTGATGGCGCGAGGAAAGATATGGACAGCTCATGGGAGATTCTGGAGACATTGAGCGGGGTAGAGCGGGGGGTTAGCGGAACATTCTATCAGATGGCGGCGGACTATTACAAGGTGCGTTTTCGATGGCCTCTATCTCGCATACAGCTGAATCAACTCACTGGGAACATGGGTATATGCGCGATGAATCAACTTCTTGACGCTCTCTCATTCGTTCAGGCCAAGGCCGATTACGCACCGTATTACAAGAATGCACTGCTGTATCTCGCCTGTATCGATGTCGCCACGGATCTGACGGCAGAGGAACGCCTTCTCCGAGCACATGACCTTGGCATCGCTGCCCTCCTTGGCGAGACGATTTACAACTTTGGAGAGCTGGTGAGCCGTCTGTCAACATTATCTCTTGAAGGATTCCGTCACCCTCTTGGTCAACCCACTGATCAGGCGAGATGGGTGGTGTCGTTTACATTTTCCACGCATACATCGACTTTGTTTCCACTCATCGCACTTAGATCTAATGTAGCTAACATGACCTTTTCCCAGCTGATGCATCCTATCCTCGACGCCCTCGACAATACCGATTATGATTGGATTAAGCGTCTGCTCTTCACTTTCAATGAGGGCAACATTGGTAAATTCGAAGCGATTGCTCCGCTTTTCCCCAAAGAGGTAAGCCACCTCTTCGTTCGCCTCTAGCTTTAGAACTTAAAGTGTGATCATAGCCAATTCTCCAAGACTCGTACCCTTTCCTGCGCCAAAAGATTTGCCTTATGGCACTTATTGAAGTAGTCTTCCGACGGGGTGCGGGAGAGCGTACGATTCCGTTCCAGACCGTTGCTGCCGAGACGCGTCTCCCCACTAACGAGGTCGAGCACCTCCTCATGAAGGCCCTCAGGTATGCTATTCGCGCGCCGAAACCCGAGCTTACAGCAACTAACTGGCAACGCGAACAGTCTTAATCTGATCAAGGGCTCACTCGACCAAGTATCTGGCGTGGCTCACATCACGTGGGTTCAGCCGCGTGTGCTGTCGCGCGAGCAGATCGGGCACCTCGCAAGTCGCCTGCAGGGGTGGATGGACCGATTGGCTTCAGTGGAAGGGCGCATCGCTCCTGAGGTGAGCGCAACTGCATGAGGAAGAGGCCGTTTTTAGGAACAAGAGAAGAAGGGAGGCGAGGGAGGTGTACGTAGAAGCCGAGTGCACATTTCGCCTTTGTACTTTTGCATTAAAATACATTAATTCTTTTACCCTGTTCGAAGTGTGCTAGCAATACAGAAAACACCACAAGCACACAAAGTTCATTATGCGACGATGCAACTACTATGTTGCTTGGCGCTGGATTCTGAGGACACTGGTCGTTGACGTCCTCCCTTTCTCAACCTGTGCCGACCCGGTGGTTCGCGACGTCTCTTCTCAGATTCTTGCATCTCCGACAACTTGCTCGCAACGGATTTAAGCAATTCTGACAGCTCTTCCAGCTTATCCTCGACGGTAGCGATACGGTCGATAGCCGTCAATGTATCACTGGCAGCGCCCTGAGAAATAGAACGCAATGAGACTCTCATCAAGAGAAGTAGGCAATTGCGTACATCGGAAGTAGAGAATACGACCCGAGAGAGGTCATGATGGAAGTTGCCGAAGTTGCTATCCGCAGGACCCCTATTTTTGGGACGAAGCCTTTCATGGGATGCGATGTTATCCCACCAGCCGGAGTTTTCGTCGATGTGCCGAGCAGGGTCACCGCCGGTACTTATCCAGAACGCGAGTAGTTTTCTGACATTCTTGGAAGGATTCCGACGCTGAAATTCGTAGGCTGTCACAAGATTTCACCGACTTCAGCTGAAAAGCTAACCTTCTTTTGCCATTCGCTGAACATTCCGCCGGCAAAGCACTCAACGTGAGCGGCTACGTCCATGCGCATTTGCTTCCAGCCGCGTTCGAGGTCGTTCAAGCGACAGTTGAACGCAAACAGAATCGTATTGAGAGTATTCTTGTGAACCTCAAATGCATGCTGGCCTAAGGTCTCTTGCGAAGCCTGTTCCATGGCCCGCAAGTGCCATTGCAGAATAAGATGCAGGAGTGGCATGACGGCCTGTTTGTGTTATTCAACATCAGTATCATTGCGTTAAATTATAAAGGAAAGAATTTTTACAAGCTCTATGCGATCGTTCCCTGTGATTGAAGGCAAGGTTCCAATGTCGTAAAGCGCGCAGTTGAGATAGTCAAGACTTTGCATTATGTTGCGCTGTTCGATCGCCATATACTCGTCCTGAACGTCGCACAATTCGCTATAGCTTAATAAACCCGGGGTGTTTTGGGATACGCCCCAGTTCAGAGACTGCAGTATGACGGGGTCGAGAAAGTCGAGCCAGTCCATGTACTCCGACTTCTGAATCGCCTCCTTGTTTTCTGGTCTTGTTTGCTTGTACGCTTTCTTGATAGATACTACGGTGTCGTTTATACATCCAAGGTATCTGGCAGTACCATTTAGTCGGTTATTGCTGATTACTGAAGACTCAGAGAAAGACGTACTTTTCGTTACTCATGAGCCAGACGACAGCCCAGCTAACCAAGCCGTGTCAGTTTCACGGACGCATCTAAGTGAGGATGGCTACTCACTAAGAAAGCCACTTTGGGACGCTAGAATCATATGAGCCTGCGTTAAAAAAGTTCAGATGCTGGAAACATACCTCCAACCCTCGGGCCTGTCCTCCAAGAAATCATTGCACTCTTCTACTGATATGAGTCCGCTCCCGTCACTATCAATGGCATCTGCCACCGCCGGAGAATCTAATTGATGTTTCAGTCAAATATCGTTGGCACAACAATATAGTCATCATACACATCGCCTTGGATAGGAAGGGTAAAGTCCACTCGTCAACGTGTGGGTCGTCCTCGGCGGCCTCCCGAACTTGCTGGCGCACCTTGGGTTCAAAGTGGCTATGAATCCCTGTCAATTGTAAAAGTACTGCATAAGCTCTTCTCTTCTCATGTAACAGGAACGGTTTGGCATGCCATCCATGAAAACCCGACTTTTGATGGATGTTTTCCATTTCTATACGCATAATTAGCTGTGTTACAAGAACTCACAAAAAAACTCACATTGGCTATTTGGATAAAGCCGAGGTTAGGTTACTTATACGAGACGCAAAGCACATAACGTACTTCTCCATATTTCTTTGACATCGGGGTCAAGGATGAGATCGTGAGGACCTGAATCCAGCTAGTCATGTTAAATTAGGCTGCGTTTCCATACCGTCTTCGTGATAAACGTACATGCTTCAAGATATTCCCGCTAGAGGCCCGTAGCGCTCTTTTGATACGTCTAGCGGCATCCCCAATCTTTAAGTCAAAGTTTCGTCTGGTTTTGTGGTCAATAATCCAGGAAGTTTTTCACCCTAGCAAATCTCTTACTTATTCTCTTTCATCATCGTGTCGAAGTCCTGCATCAGCGCATCTCTTAGGGACGCAGTGATGTTTTCGCCCAGTATTTTGGATACCCGCTCAACTAGCACCGGATTCTAAATTTCTTATCAGGAATCGATAGCTGCATCGCACAAAGCCATATTTACCTGAAGGACGGCCTCAGGGCCACCGCTGGCGGTAATTAATTGCTCCGCCTCCCGTTCTCTGGGTGATTGACCAACCTGCTCGACCACGAGGTCAATGTTGACTCCGATGTCGTGGTCGCCATGCACGTCGAAGTGGACGTCGATTGAGATGAACTCGGTAAGCTCATGGCGATGCTGCACAAGTTCCTCCCAGAAACGCTTCAGACGCCCTTTGAGACCAGTTCCCTGAAACACAGCCACTGGAAAGCAACTCAGATGTATCTCACCAAGATAGGGTATGCAACCTACGAGTGCTCGGACTTTGATAGCATGAGCTGGACGGTTGAAACTTAAATATGGCGACGAAAACAAGGGAAGTCAATATTCACTCAGCGAATTTTGCTATACAGGACATCAACAGGTGATTATATGAGCCAGGAGCAAGATCACGAACCAAAATCGCCCAAGGTTGTCTTGAACTGGGACAATAGATGATCTAAAGTGGATCTTGTATCCATCGAGAGATTAGGCAAACTTGTCAGATGACGCATCGAAAATATGACGCATGACTGGTTGGCAGGCGAATGAGTATGATCGGTGAGTGGGCCTTTGTCGAGTAGAATGGTAGACGTACTATCAGGTAGAGGATTATGGCTATTTGCTGGTTAGCTTTGTTTCTTCTTTGAGACTCGACAAGTATCAAGGTCTGCGTGATTAGCTTAGTGGTTGATCTTGTAGTCGTGAATTTACGCCAACCTCATACAAAGCGGTCGTCTCCTGCAGTACAGCTTTGTTAATAGCACTTTCAGTGAAATATGGGAGCGCTTGGGCAAGACCTTTCCGATGTCTGTTAGCTCCGAAACATCCCGTACAACTTCTACGACCTTCCCCCCAGCACCAATGATACGTTTGGCAACCTCGCTTAGCTGCGGCGGAGATATTTGAACTGTATACTTCGTGTCAGCTCATGAAAAGGTTAATAAAGATACAGGTAACGTACTGTTCTCAATCTTGTTGACGTCAGCTTTTGCAACGTCGAGAGCCTTCCTAGCAGCTGGGATGCTTGTACGCTCTGGGTATCACGTCGTTATCTTCTACACCCGTATAAAGAAACATGTTAAATTACTCAATCGTTTTCTAATTTCCTTCTATGCACTATACTCGCTGGAGAGGAGCGGAACACAAAGATGCATTATAGTAATAGTGACAGGCAACAGACCAGGTAACGAGTGACTATGGTGAGATAGAAATATGTAGTAGTTGATGCGGGCGAAGCCCTGGGCGCGGGCCACGGCCAGCGCCTGGTAGCGTGATGGAGAGGGGCAGGCGAGCTGCGTGGGAGGGCGGCCCGAACCGCGCAGTGAGCGACCATCGACGTGAACCAGGAACGCAGGCAACCTAGAAAGGAATCCAGAAGAAAGGGGGTCAGAAAGGAGTAACAGTGAAAAGGGCCAATTCGGGAGGAAGCGCGTGAGCGCTCAGGGCCAAGGGGAAGTGGACAGACTAACAGTGTGGGCGTCAGACCCTTGATGAGTTGCCCGAAGAGGGGGCCCGCGTGCCAGATCCGCATATGAAGAGCAGGATCATGGATATCCAGGAAAGGAAGGAGCAGCTGCGATTGTGGACGGCCACTGGGCGTGGGGTTGGTTGAGGGGTATAAAGAGAGGCGGGGCACCGAAAGAGGGGCTGAAATTCGGAGTACTGCTCTGCAAAGCTGAAAGGGGAGCGCGGACGGACGTGAAGGTGCGTCGAGGGCTCGGTGGAGTAAACCATGTGGCTAGCTGAGATCTCCCCCCGAATGGCCAGGGTGTCTTTGCTCTCAGGATCTGTGGTATCCCGGGCAAAGAAGGCAGCTATCTTGTCACCGACGGAGAGGGAGTGACCTCGGGGATGGACCACACTGTGGAGGTGGAAGATTGGAATGGGGGGGTCGGAGGAGTAGTCCCATGCCGGGACACCCGAGGTGACAGTGATGGTGGTGACACCAGCGATCTGGAGATCAGTGGCGAGGGTGGTGGGAGTACTCCCTAGCTGGGCAGGCGGTGGCAGAGGCAAAGCCATGGGGGGGAAGAAAGGGCATCAGGTCTTAAATGCCCCAGACGTTGCGAGGGGGTACGTAATGGCGGCGGAATAGCGCACGAACAGAAGAACCCTCGCCCTGAAGACGTAAAAACATGGGAGCAACCGGCCGGAAGCCCATGGAGAACGGACCAACAGAATGGCGGAGGTTGCCTGCGTGCGGTGAGAAAGGGTGAGGAGGGTGGGCGAAAGAGCGACGAAACGCTGCGAGTCAGCGTGAGGAGGTGGTGGGAGGAGTAGAAGGAATGAGCTCCTCCCACGCCTCCGTAGGCACATAGACTAGACTCTGACGGCAAATGCCGAGCACAGACTCAGACATCTATGCACTATACTCGCTGGAGAGGAGCGGAACACAAAGATGCATTATAGTAATAGTGACAGGCAACAGACCAGGTAACGAGTGACTATGGTGAGATAGAAATATGTAGTAGTTGATGCGGGCGAAGCCCTGGGCGCGGGCCACGGCCAGCGCCTGGTAGCGTGATGGAGAGGGGCAGGCGAGCTGCGTTCCCCAAAAGGAGGAGCTTGTGACGTGTGCAGTGAGCCACAGCCCCAAAAGGAGGAAGCAAGCGGCGACTTACTGCATTAGCGTATGCGCGGAAGTGAGCGGGCAGTGAACTCCGCTAATGCAGGCGAGGGGCCGAGATAGGGCGCCAGAATACGTGCATGTTCACGTAGGTAAAGCGTGAACGCGTCGCTGAACCAGCGGCCGTGAACCCGTACGACATCAAAAGGAACACGTTTGAGGAGATAGTGCAGCGTGCCGCCGATGCGCAAGCTGTGCCCCGTGAGGAGAGGCTCATCAGCGAACGCAGGGATGGCCTTGAGACGCTTGTTAAGCGTGCGCCAAGACAAGGGTTTGATGCGACCCGTGGCACCGGTGGCATACCCAAAGAGGGGATCGGTGGGCCGGCCCGGGCTGACGTGCAAGTGGTTGGCCAGAGCGGCTTGTGGGTCAGACTCAAGGTGGGGCTGGGGAACCCATCGGGTGTATTCGCCTGCGGATTTCGCGACCTTGGTCCAGGGGAGGCGAAAGACGGTGGCAGTGGAGCCGTCGTCGACGGTCTGGGTTTGGACGTCAGCCCGCGTGATATGAACCCTGGGGTTGAAGGTGGCAACGTTGCGAACAGTGAACTCTCCGACACGGGAGACGGAGTAAAAGATGGTGGTGATGCAGGCAAAAACGGCGGCGTCAAGGGGTGTAGTGAGGTCAAGCGCGTTCTTAACACGATCCAGGACGGCAGTGGTGAAGGGAGCACGGCGCGGGCGTGTCGAGGATGCAGGCGCGAAGTGGGCAGCGCCGTCGAGAATGGCTTTGAGCTCAGGGGGTGAGATGAGCCAGGGCTGGAGGTGTAGGACATGCCATGCCCGTAAACCTGCTGCGAAGTTGGCGAGAGAAGACCGGGAGTAGGAGCCGGCGCAAGTGGCGAGGAAAGAAAGGAGGAGGAAGGGGGAGACTGGGCAGCGCTCTTCCTCCGCGACGGAGTAGACGTCACAGTATACATGGAATACAAGGAGGCCTGTCGCGTACGTTGCCCGCGTGGACTCGGCCCAGGAACGCTCCATGATAGTGAGGATGCGGTCGCGTTGCGCCGACAACGACAGCGGGCCAGTGCCAGCCGGCGTGGGGGAGGAGCGTGCGGATCGTGGGCGCCAGCAGCGAAGGCGCTCCGCGGCGCTGACGTGAGGACGCAGTGGGGAGGGCCGAGGCGTCATGTTGGTCTTGTAGCGCGCGGGGACCAGTGCGCGTGAAGCTGGGAGGATGAGAGCGGCGGTGCGAGCAAAACGCGACGCGTCAGATCTCCAACGCGCCAGCGAGGACGGACTCCACGAGGAGGTCGTTGTCGCGCGTGAGGCGCTCGGTGCGGGCGCGGGCCTGGTGTGTGCGGTCTGGGCGTCTCGTGCGCCGCGTTGGCGCGTGTGCTGTGCGGGTGCGCTGGTGCTGAAGCTCGGCGGGGCTGGGCGGGTCAAGCGCGTCGAAGAGGAGTGGGGCGAGGTCGTCGGGGAGCGCGCAGCAAGGGAGGCAGAGGCTGGGCGAGTCAAAACGCCCGCGAGAGGGTGCGTCAGCGGGATTGTTGGCGCTGGGTACGTACGTCGTCGAGATTTTGAGGGGGTGGGGGCGTGCCACGAGGAAAGAGTGGATGCGTCGGAAAACAACGTTGGCGGCCCAGTTACGGTGGCGCCCGTTGGCCCAACCTTCGACGACGCCCATATTGTCGCCGTAGACGACGAAATGCCCACCGCGTGGGTGCGCGGCAGCGACGGCATAGACCAGAAGTTCGAAGCCAACGGCTTCAGCCCAGCTGATGTCGCGGCCCCGGCCTTTGGCGTTCCAGTTCGGGTGGAGCCTCCATGCTCTCCAGCGTCCATTGAGGACGATTGCAACACCGTTGCCTCCACTAGCATCTGAGAAGGCTCGGAGAAAAGTGGGAACAGAGGGAGGAGTGAGTGGCAGAGAGACGAGACCCTTGCGAAGGACAGCTTCCCACCAGTCGAGATCATCGGCAGCATGGCGACCGGGGTAGTACGGTGTGAAAGGTCGGTCGGCACATGTGCGAAGCATCGCCTCGAGGCTAGTGAGGTATGCGCGTCCTTGCGGAAGCGCATAGCTGGCGTGAAGAAGCTTACCATAGAGTTGCTGTACATCAAGTAGAACATGCTTGTTGCGGCAGTGCCAGTCAGCAATAGCGGCGAGATACTTTGTGACCTTTTCGAGCGTGAGGGAGACGCAGCGCTCGCGTAGGTTCCAGCGGAATCCCATGAAGTCTGCAGCGGGCCCAAACGGTCGGTCCTTGTCGGGTGACCAGGGAACTCCGAGTGGGTCTGTGGCTCCGTTGATGTCGCAGTAAGCGTAAGCAAAAAGAGCGTTGTGAGCCGAACGCGGCGAAGAAGCTGAGAAATCACGCAAAGGCTGGGAACAGTCTTCGCAGAATTCCTCAACCGAAGTGGGTGAGAGCGCGGCGCCCGAGTACCACAAGTGCCCGCCGCGCTGATTCATACCCCCTGCGGCTTCTATTTCGGCCGCCCAACGGGCGCGTGCGCCATTGTAAGCGTCGATGAAATTATGGCGGATGCGGGCAAAGATATGGTCATCGACCCATTTGAGTAGGGGGCCGATGCCCCGCGCACGCATGATTTCGCAGCAACCGTCAGCAACTAGGCCATGCACCCCTGTAGAGGAGGCACCTCCGAAGGCGACAGCGGTGTCAATGTGGTATGAGTCGGGTCCCGTGCGCACTACCGCAGCTGCCCACTGCGAGGGGTGGAGGGGTACGGTTCGATATGCCTCTGCAACGTCCCGCGTTGCAAGTTCACTGCCTGGTGGGAGTCGTGACAGAAGTAGGAAAGTAGTGGAGAACTTCGCCCAGGTTGTGGGAAAACGTGACGAGTCAATATGAGAGTTGACAGACGGTGAGGGGAAAGCAGGGGTCGGGCGATGAGGAAAGGAGAAATTTTGTATTAGCCGGAATTTATCGGGGCGACCGGGTTTGGGTATGATGGATAGAGGCGAGGTTTGGATGGGTCCGAGCAGCTCAGTCACCTCAGTGAGAGTGAAAGGGCCAATGTACCTCCCCTTGTCAACCTCAGTCCGTATGGACTTCTCAAAAGCGGTGTGATAAGTGTCAACAGAGTCTTTATTAGGTGGGATCTGAGTACGGAGTATGGTTGGGAAATCTAGCGTGAAACCGTTGCGTAAACCATCCGGTATTGAGCTAAACCGTGGAAGAAGGCCTGCGGAGCGTAGCTCTCTCTCCCAAGCCCCGACATTATAGGGGGTGTGCGGTTGCTCACGCCTTGCCTCGAGGACATGCTTGGGCGCCGTGACTGGCGTCGCCGCAGCCGGAGCAGAGGTGGCGTTCGGCGTGCCTGAGGTTGGTGCAACCCCTTGGAGTGTTGAAATGGAGGCAGATTGGGTCTCCGTTCCTCGTGACGAGAGCACGGCCTTCTCGCTTGGAGAAAGTGGCACACGTGGAGCCGGCGAGTGTGGCGGCGGCGCATTCCTGGACGGTGTGTCGGTGGCGGCTGAGGCAGACTGCGCACCGGTATGGCCCCAGCGCTGACGTGCTCGGCGAGTCGTCCCGAAAGGACGGAGGGGGCCGGCGTAGAGCGGGTGCGGCGGTGAAGTCAGAAGGTGCGGCGCGCTTGCAGCTCGTTCCCTGTGCGGGAGCTAGCACAGAGGCGGCGGCCTGTGTGCCAGGTGCGTTGTAAGTGACGGAGCCGCCCAGGATAGCGGGCGGGGCGTGGGTGGGGCAGCGGGGCCACCACGCAGAGCGTAGGGTGGGGCAAAACGACGGGGCCGTCGGGCGTGCGCGCGACGGGGCATGGGTAGATGGGAAATGGCGGCAACGAGGGAGGGAGTAGGGGGGGAAGGAGGGAGTGAGATGCGACAGAAGAGAAGAAGGGGAAAGGCACATACCGAGCGGGCGGCCTCCGTAGCGGCGGTTTGTTCCTCCCTGGCAATCTCCTCGCGATACCGGTCGAGGACCGTCTGGTTGATCTCCGAGAGATCAAAGGCGTGGACGCCGTGGATGGTTGCGTACCAGTATTCGCGCACGCGGGCTTGGTAACGGAGCAATGCGCGGCGAGAGATAGGGTCCGGGGAGAAGTGCCATTCATGGGTGTCAATGTTCTGCCAAAAGACACGGAACATGTCAATCCAGTCGTCTGGCAAGCCAACCATAGCCATGGCGGTAAGGCATCGGCAGTACGCCTCGTAGAATAGCTCGTGTGAAAGCTGTTCGTCGGGGATGACGGGGGCCTTGGGGTCGCGGATGTTCGCTGCGGCGGTCATCCCAGTGCGGCCGTGAGCGTCGGTGTAAGGCACGAGAAGATCCGGGTCGGAAGCAAGCGAGTGCTTGGTAGAACTCGCGAGGCCAGCATTGGTGAAATACCAAAGCTGTACAAACTTGATAGCAGCCAGAAGCCGCATGGCGAAGGGCGATGGAATGAAGTGGGGGCCGGAGGACAGCCCCATGCGTGGGATGGACGGGAATTTGGTCTTGGAAATCCGAGTTTCCCCGGGTGGGACGGCCTCCAGGCCCGGCAGGGCCCTCGGGATGCTGTCGAGGGTAACGGAGTCTGCGTCTGCATGTGCACGCGGAGCCGGGCGTAGCGGGGGGAAGGCAGCCGCGTCGGCTTCGTGGGATGCCTGGCGGGAAGGGATATGGGGCTGTTGGTCCTCCTCCAGCTCGTCGGCAGCGACTTGGTCAGCCCAGGCGAATTGGAGACGGTCATTCTCTACTTGCCAGAGAGCTTCAAGAATCTCGACGGCGTCGTCCTCAGCGATGCCATCCACTTCGAAGATGGAGCGGTGCCCGGTGTATTCGACGAGTGTGAAGTCGGGGCACTCGTCCAGAGCCGGATCGGAGAGGAGGCGAACCATCACGGAGGCGTATGACGAGGGAGTGCAGGTGTGCCGTGGACAACGGGAAAGGGGAAGGTTGAAGAGAGGAAGAGCGCGAACGAGTGAGATTGTACTGAACGAGAGAAGGAAGTGGAACAGAGACGAAAGAGCGACGAAACGCTGCGAGTCAGCGTGAGGAGGTGGTGGGAGGAGTAGAAGGAATGAGCTCCTCCCACGCCTCCGTAGGCACATAGACTAGACTCTGACGGCAAATGCCGAGCACAGACTCAGACACTTTGGCTTCTACAGCAGCGGGATTAGGATGGATCTGAATAGGCTCTCCGTTCATCGTAGACGACAGGGACATCACAAAAACTAGGGAGATATTGTACACGGCAAACATGTATTAACTTACAGTACAATGACCATAATGCATATCACCGAATCACAGGTCCAACTTTCATTACGGAAGACCTCGAAGTTTCATATTTTGAGCCCAGTTATGATACAGCATTATAGAGCAAGGCTGATATGATCGTGCACGGTAGAGTAAGGCTGATACGATCGGGCATGATAGAGTAAGGCTGATACGATTGGGCATGATAGAAGGGTCGCAAAATGACACGGCATTACACGCAGAGTTCAAGTCTATAATAATACTTAAGTCATACAATGGATGATCAAGACAACAAGATAGTATTAGAATTGATGGTACTACTAATAGTACAGGCCAAAGCGAATACAGTACGAGCTACTAGACATGGTCGAGCACACGCGTCAACGTACAAGAAATGGAATTGCGAAGGCGAGACTGGAGCGGTACGATACCCAAGATACGCACGG